CAGTCGCCCGTGCTGGTTGAGCCTGCAGTCTGGTCTGTGGGCAGGCACAGGGCATTTGATAATCACTCCTCCAGGTTTGCTCCAGGACATGCTATTACGGTCTCTCCTCTGGCACTGATGTGAACACTGACGGCTGATTGTTGTGCAGCATACATAATGCGCTCTTTTATTTCAACATCTGAAACCTCACATGAACTTTTGACTGAAGAAATGCCAGTCGTGGTTCTGACATAAAGGCATGTAATAAAGACGAAGCTGCTTCTAGAAGACTGGGAAGCCTCTCTTAACCTTTCTCTGAGTATGATTAATGAAATCCGATGAGATCAGGTCATGTGATGAGTGCTGTTGGGTAACATCTATGAAGACAGCTCACTTCATCATAAAAGTAATAGCCATAAGTGGGTAAATTATAACTTTTGTAATAAATTGTTTTCACTTGACTGTAGGTTAAAGTTACACTGCTTTACTTTTCTCATGGAGAATCTGCTGCTTTGTTGCCTCCACGAAAATGTTTTTTGCTTTGCCTGGAATGTTTCATAGTATTGCATTAACATATTTCCATGGATATAAACAAGTGGTGCCATCCACACAGCAGATCTGTGGAGTGTTCCCAACAGAAAAGTTACACTGGCCACTATTAAGTTTAAGTTATATTTAGTCACTGTGATTCCTAAAAGTTATTTTTGCAAAAATAAATAGCAAAATTTTGTTACAAAAATATATTTTTGCAAATTAGAATTTTTGCATGCAGTGTTTCCTATTGCATACAAGATTTATTTTTAATTTTTTTAATTTTTGGAAAGACAAGAACTCATTTATTGTGATTTAACAACAAACATATCAATTTTAGTGACTCAACATAAGTCTAGTAATAGCATTTTGTCTCAGGTGGTGACTTGTAGTTGAGGAAATCTCCCCTATCGGCTACAGAGGTCATCCTTTAAGTTAGCAGCCATGACTCAAGACAGAAGTCTAATTCGGACCCCCTTTATTTCTACTGACTTCTTCCCCCTGCCCTCCAACCAGCTCGCCCCAAAGGAATGGGGCTGTAACTGAGCCTGGTGGGACAGATGGTGCCTATTTTTAGAGCTACATTGAAGTGTGAAGTTTCTTGGGATTTCGAAGAGCGGGGGCCATGGCTCCTTAAGGGCTGATGCTCGCTCTCTCACTCCATAGTCCCTCAATAGCGCTTCACTGGCCACACTGGGATTAACTGAGGCCAGGCTAAACAAAGCAGCCTGCTGGTCTTTTTTATAGGGGATACCTCACTACATAAGGGGGGACATCTGAGTCGCCCCTCCTTTGACACCACGCAGACAGGAAGACAGGCAGGACAATCACGTCTTCAAGTAGAGATGCCAGCTCCTAAAACAGAGGGGTGACAGGGCATGGGGTATTATTACAGTGACTTAAGGATACAATAAAAGCAGTGAACATCTATGGAGAAAGATGAGGAGAAAAAAAACAGTGTGCCTTAGTTAGGTCCAATCATCGTGAGGCTGGTATTCCTACATGCCATTCGGGTGTCCGTGGGCAATACATTTAACCCACTTTGCCTATATGAATGCGTTAAAGTGTGATTTATGATGATGGTCAAAGAGGCCAGTGGCACAGTAAACCTGTCACACCTATGTCTATAGAGATACAAAAATGATATTATTAGTAATGACACACAGTGCATTCAGAAATGTGTAATACAACAGCGTAAATGTTTGTCTCCATGGAGATTTTCTTGTTTTCTAACATGCATTTCAATTACTGGCATTTTTATTGTCAAAAAGTGCCTGCTTGCAGTCTTAGCGTCTCTGTCCCCATAGGGATAGAAATGTTTAATGCTTTACTATGGAACATTCTGATAATTAAATGGCAGCTCCCCGTCCAGAAAAGTTCCCAGTTTGTGAATTTTGTTCACTGACAGTGGCAATACATTTTTTTTCTGAATTCTGATGTACAACACTTACCGCTATTGGAAAACGTGGATGAAGAGTCTTGCCGGGACAATTGCACCCTCCTTTGTGATGGAGCTTCAACGGTGACCATTAAAATAAGGTGTGAACTTCCAAAGCTGCGCAACAGAAACAAAGATGTGCCAAGATTCTCATTTTAATCCAGCTGAAAGGTCACTGTGGATCTTAAACATCCTAATACTCCCTACTCGTTTACATCACTGTGTTTTATTGTGTTTACAGTGATCATTTTGAACACCATTTTATCATATATATTATGCCAAAAACACAATGATAAAAATATTGTAGCATTATTAGTAGATCTCATACTGATCAAGGCAAAACTAAGGAACATCACATTTCCTTCACATTTTTTTTTTTTTTCAATACCTCCTCGCATATCTCAGTATCAAATTTTGATGCTTGTTTTATGGTTAATTAGTATCCGACCATAGATTTTTTGTTTGAAAACCCTGTGCCAGACTAATAAAAATGGTGAACAGTGTCCTTGTCATAATGGAGCAATGCTTTTGAAACTCAAACTCTATATTCTTATGTCAAAACAGGATCTAAGTCTAATCCACTCCTCCCCACATCATTTAAGATTCTTAAAATGAGCCATCCTTTATTTGCGTCGTCTCAGGGCCGATGCTTGGAAACCTGGCAACAGCGTGGAGGCAGTCGCTCTATTTATGTCTGCTCTTAAGCTCGATCTCCATCTGAAACGCACACTTGAAACCGAAGACAATGCAGTGTGCGGACAGACAGGCCTCATCACTGGGACTGTCCCGGACCAGTCACAGCAGGGGTCTAAACACCACTCAACATCACTACTTCACTGCTAAAGGGACATATACTGCATGTGTGTACAGTGTTCCTACTAATATAACCAGAATTTTTTTATATATAAGAACCACCCCATCCCCAAGTCACATGCCTAGTAAACTGTGCTATTTCAACAGTCTCAAATCAGTTAATTTGGTTAGCGTGTGCCAATAATGAAGATGTTATGTTTTTTTTTCTCTTTCTCTATTTTATTATCATCGGCTTCTTTACTGAATGGACATTTTTGTAATAATTTACTTCAAACTGTTATTTTCATTCATCTAGACACATGCCACAAAATATTTACAGTGTTATCTTTGGTGCGAACAACCTTAATAAATCTTAAGTTTGTAAAACATCTGTGGAGTACGTATGGATTACTTACAGCTCCTTAAGGGCCCATAGAATAGCCTTCATGTTCTTGTGGTGTGAATGAAAGCACGGTTTAACCTTAACACTTCCTACATGACAAGCATGCATAGGCCTATATATACTGTATACACTACTCTATTTTAAGAGCAGCTTTCAAGTTGGCTGGAAATGTTATGGCTCCGACACAAAGCAGTGGTTAGTGGAATCGCTCAACCAACTCACAGGTGGGCAGTTTGATCCCTGCCTGGACCAGTTCATATACTGTTTTTGTGTCCTTGGGCTAGACAGCCAAGGCAGCTGTGGCGACAGAGGTTGCTAACTGCATGAGCTTTCAGACTTGTTAAAGGTGCATTGTGTAACTTTATTCTGGTGGAGAGTTTCCTATTTGTTTTCTTGGAGAGGGTTTTGCATATATGCACAACTTGCATTTCCTCATGTTTTTAATGTTAAATGAAGACCTTCATTGAACTGTGAGAGGGGATACCTCTCTGACCTGTAATGTGGCCTTGTTGCATCACCTGCCTGTGTCCACTGTATCCGATAGATACATTTAATGCCTTATACTGTGGAAAATTCTAGGAAAGCAATAACTCTATGAGGACAAGCAGGTTGGCCCTCCACCGGAGAAGTCACATAGTAAATAAATCTAATCACCAGTCTCTTAATGAGTTTGTCACATGGACTGGAGCATCTAGAGCATCACAGTCATATGACCTGTGTATCAAATGTGCCATTTCATTGGATCACAATGTTATAACGTGTTTCGCCACAAGATGTCAGCAAAGCACCACAGCAACTATGAACCCCATAGGAACCAGGGAGACCTAAAGTCGAACCACTTTACTAAGTAAATGCAGTGTTCATTATAGTCTTGATCATCTTTGTATATTATAGGTTTCTGCTACCCAAACGAATATTTTGATATCTAAATTTGAGACAGTTATCAATACAAATGTACCTATACATTTTCGATATTGCACAGTCCAACCTGTATGATAATTCCTGGACAACATTAGGAAACTAAATATGGAGCAATTGCATGTACATCAAATATATTATCTAAAGTCAAACGCCGATATGTTAGACCTGTGCAGCCTGCTCCAGTTCTTTGACTCGCTCCACTTTGTGCAGAGTGCTGAACCCAGCAGACTGGCAGTCAGTCGTCTCCACAGAGCACAGTCCTGCAGTCATCAGCAAAAGCACACACCTCTCTAATCCCCCACCATTGAGTTCGTCTGTCAGCCGTGTGCCATTTCCCCGCGGGAAACGGGCCCAAAGGAAAAGCTGTGGGAGTTTGAGGAAGTTACAGTAGTGTAGGTCATGAGGTACATTCATGGATCTATTGGGTGCATTTGAAGGTATTAAGTAAGTGGTCCGTTATAATAATTGTGTCAAATGTCATTAAAAACTCTTAAGCACTGTCAAATTTACAGCGAAATATTAGGCACAGGAATATTTTAAGTAGCCTATTTACAAATCAATAAATTATACTATTACCACTACTGTAACACCCACTATAACTATTAATGGATATGATTAAGGTAGCCTGTAGCCTAAAAGTTTAAAATTACATTCAGGGCTATAATTATTTTGGCTATTATTAGGCTATTTATCACTTATGCTTCCTTTACGCACAGATGGCCAGTTTATGTTTTAAAAATACAGCTGGCATTTCAAGGCAACGGTGTTGGGCAAGTTCAACTTTCATGGCCTTGTGAATTATTTTATTATTTTTCACGCCTCTCAGTTCACGGAACCAGTCAGAAAAGAGCGCGAGTCGTGCGTAAAGAGAAACGCCACCAGCAGCCAACCAGGACGCACGCCCCCTGCGCCCTCTATCGACAGCAAGAGGCGTTCCCGAAATCCACGTTCATTCATCCATGTGTCAAGTTGGTTGACCCAGAAAAGTTAGGACGATTTATCAAAATAAGCTATCCTGTCCTAGAGCAGGTCTAGCCAATTCTGTTACCAGTCGGGGGTTTAACTATAGGCTATTTGATAATTATGACAAAGATTTTACAAGCCTACAGCCTTGCTAAATCACTGCAACGAGGATGTGTGGTTGGCAGAAAAGTTGGAAACGCATCAACTACGTGGTTGAAACTGCAACCTGCTCATTTTTTTAGCGTCAAGGTAAGAAAAAACTTCCCGTATAACTTTTTCGCCAAAACCAGAATTCGTTGGAAAAAGTGCAATAACTAGTATAACACAGTAAGTAACGATCGCACTTTAGTTAAATGTGTAATTACGCAAGATATCGGCTTTCTCTCTCATTCGGCGTAGGTCTTGTTAAAATATTCGTGAAGTGAACTGTCATAGAAAGTTAGCCATGTGAAAGCTGTAGCATCGTGGGCTGAGCTAACGCGAAAACTGATGACTGACTGGAGTTACACGTGGCTACTAAGCATAAAACTCTTAATATGTAAGAGGCTCTAAAAACGCTACAAAAATGTTCAACTGGACTCAAAAGATGCTAACATAACACAAAGTGAGTTATCTTCATTTTAAATGTAAGAGTCTGATATCATTGCATCATATTTGTTCCTCCCTGAAAGATTGCAACATCCAGCCACATCACAGAAGGATTCCTGTGCTCCCAGCGCTCTGCTGCTGATACAGACAGCTGAGAAGACCTATGGCATTTTGTATTTGTCCAAAAGATTATAATGATTATTCCACCTAGATTATTGAATTTGCACAGGATCCTATTGAAGTTTTAGGACATAGGTCTACATTAAATTTTCACTACCCAAAACATGCTGTATAGCTGCATCCTAGTCAAATGTTCACTTTATTGTGTATACAAAAGGGGGGAAATGTCAAGAACAGAATATATAAAGGCTGTTCAGACTTGTAATTACAGTTCATGCATTCATACATACACAAATATGCCCCAGAGGCCAGTCTCTTTCAGTGCATTGTGATGTATGATGTATCTAAATGGAATTGTTTTGACTGAGACTTGCATTTGACTGCATTTGACCCAGGCCCAAACAGCACATCTGGTTTTGGACGATGGCACCAGGATGAAAGGGTTTTCCTTTGGTCACAGTGCCTCTGTGGCAGGAGAGCTGGTTTTCAACACTGGACTAGTGGGGTAAGAGAAGTGACCACAAACTGATGTTGATGTCATGGGATTTGATTGACCACGTTTAGGAATATGTATAATACTATGTACTTTTACTTCTAGTTCTTTTTCACAAACTCTACATTTTACCATTGGGGCAAAGCATATAGAAGCTGTAATCATATTCATTTGGCGTGGTAGTAACAGTTGTAATAGGCTGTAATAGCAGAAGCAGTCAGCAGTATAATAAAGCAATAATGCCTTAATGATTGAAGAAACAGTAAATGGATGCAAGTTATATTGTGTACCCTAAATAAGCATAATTTTCTTTGGGTAATACAATTTAAAAGTTGACGGTACCCTTATTTGAGTATACACGTCCCCCTCTGATTGCTTTGTCTGTTGTCTCATACTAACAAACGTAATAAATCCACTTGTTTTTATTCTGGTTCAGTTACCCTGAGGCCCTGACTGACCCGAGCTACAGGGGTCAGATCCTCACTCTGACCTACCCCATTGTGGGCAACTACGGTGTCCCAAATACACAAGAGCTGGATGAGCTGGGACTGAGAAAACATGTGGAGTCTGAACGCATACAGGTAGAATAAACAACATTATTGTTTGTGAGAGTTAATAGGCATAGTAGAGACATCATGGCTTAATGGATAATTATGAATTCTCAGTCTCCTAAGTACTTTTATGGTAAATACTAGTAGTAATGATTTTGGCAGATTTTTCTAAAATAATTTTGTCAAGACAGTTTTTACTCTTTTACCCTTCCTGACCCAATTATCTCTAAAATATTTGACTTACACACCCCAACTTTATTGATTCACAAGGGAAATTACTTGGAAAGAGAAACTCACACTTTACAATATAAAAACAAAGAGCAAAATAAATACAGATTTGTAAATGTACAAGTAAAATATAACAAAATATACCAGATTATCTAGCCTACATACTAGAGATTGACCAATATGGGTGTCTAGAATCCAGAGCAGTCAATGGTCGATAAACTCTGAACACTGATATTTTTGGGCCAAAATGTAGAGCCAATTTGAACTAATTTTAATTTATGATAAACTCATCTACCGTCCCTTCTAACCATAAACATTCAGGAGGGTTACGTAGTCACATTTTGAGGAGATTTCTACTAGCATTTGCATTAAAGTGTTGAACTGAACCTTTGTATGTACTCTTTAGGCAGCAGGTCAGCCAAAATAAAATATCAACCTGTGCTGCACATTTAAGGTCAATTTGCTAAAACGTACAAATATCTCCGCTATCAGTAAGGTACATGGTAGATTTGACACTAAATAAGGTTATCTATGACAGACGGGTGAGCTGTTGTACAGTTGTATGAAGTATGATAGGTCTAGGACTAGGAGTGTAGCTGAAGTCTGTTGCTTTTTGTTTTGTCACACTTTTTGTATTTTGCATCTTCAATGTGTGTATTGCGTATACCATGTAGTGACTTGGGAGCTCTAACACAACTGACAAATAATCAAAATTAGGGATATCTTAAAATGATTATTCATTAATTATTTTTAGTACAATAACATATTTAATAGATCTAAATCATTTGTGTATCTAGGTTTCTGGTCTTTTGGTACAAGATTATAGCCACGAATACAGTCACTGGAACTCGGTTAAATCATTGGGGCAATGGCTGAATGAAGAGAAGGTTAGTACTTGGATTATTAGTTTTACAAGAAACGGACTTCAAATGTATTTGATTGTTGGTTTGTTTTGTATTTAGGTACCAGCATTGTTTGGAATAGACACCCGAATGCTTACAAAGATTATAAGAGATAAGGTACTTGCAAATAGTATGTTGCTTTATATTCTGTGCATGATGCCCTGATAGCTTACTTCATTTTAGGGTACAGTTTTGGGAAAGATTGAATTTGATGGGCAGTCTGTAGAGATCACTGATCCCAACCAAAGAAACCTTGTTGCAGAAGTGTCTACAAAGGTAAGCTATTTCAACATGTTTTATTTTTAGATGTACACTGTGTAAGACATTTTATTTACATTGTGTGGTGTTGTGTCTTGTTACCACCAGGAGACTAAAGTTTTTGGAAAAGGAAATCCAATCAAGGTTGTGGCTGTTGACTGCGGCATTAAACATAACATCATCCGTCTTCTGGTGAAGGTTAGACTGAAGAGGGATAAAAATATAATTTTTTTTTAGTCCGTGTCATTAAATTACTCAAGTGGCATTTTTATGATGCTAGCCCAGTTAGTGTTTCCTCGCAGATTTGGACTTTGCAACAAAGTACCGATGTACTTTGTTGCATGATTTCAGGAAGTTGACCTAGAAAATCTGCGTAAAGTCTAATGAGCTCACAAAACTCCAAAATGTCATATTTCAGGCAAAAATAGTTGTTTAGTTTTACCATATAGTATTTTATCTTAGCTATCCGCTATGTACAACAACATTTTAATGGCTATGTTTTAAGTGAAGTAAAAACCTCCTAATAATAATAATAATAATAATAATAATAATTTATATATATATATATATATATATATATATATATACACACACACACACACACACACTAATTATATATACTATTTTATCACTGTATATTATCTATGTAGCGTGGGGCTGAAGTCCATTTGGTCCCATGGAATCAGGACTTGACAAGTCTAGACTACGATGGTTTGTTCATCTCGAATGGACCAGGAGACCCAGCTCTGGCCCAAACTCTCATCCAGAATGTCCGTAAGGTAAGACTGCACACAAATGTGCACACTATCTGGACATCCAGAAACATTTTTTGTTCATTGTTCTATTTTTAATTAATATTTTTTCATACTTTTTTAATTTAAATCCAAAGATCTGTCTCTGCTCTAACCAAAAATATCACATTTATAAAAAATCATCACAATTTCAATCCCTTAATTGCTAGTTAGAAAACTTGACATGTCTATTTATCTATCTATCTATCTATCATGTCTGTCTGCTGTGGATCAAAAGATATGAGCAGTTAAAATGCTTAACATGTTTACGTCACATGCGACAGCCCTGACCCATTATAAACAATTGGAAAATAGGCAATATTTCAAACATATGCCAACAATGGACACATTTTTGTCATAAACTGTAAAAATGATACATTTCACTTGTTTTCTCTGAACTGATCCTATACAAAAACTAACAATGCCATTAACCTCAAATTTGACAAAAACTTGAAGCTTTCTAGGACCCTGGCTTCAGTTTTCTGGAAAATTTCTCAGCTTTAGAGGTGATTTCTTTACTATAAGTGAAATCTAAGTTTTCAAACTGACATTTAAAATTAAATTTATATAGATCTTTTATAATGATATTTTTGATGCAATCTTTGGATTTAGTGGAAAACAGTATGAAAAAATATGAATCTTTGAAGATTTGCATCTGTTTTGCCATTTTGGTCCTAAGTGTTACTTTTTTTTTTCCTTATCTCATGCAACACAAAAACAAAAACATTTAGAAAAGTTGAAACTTCTCAGGGCACATATGAAATGTAACCCATTATACCTTAATCTATGATGATTTTACAGCTGTTTTTGTAAGTGGACATTTATGTCCTTAGGGTCCTGAACAGGAACCCCTGAGGGTTAAGTGTGCCTCATTTCCTATTAGTTGTGACATTTGTGATGAATGACAATTGCCCCATAATTACAAAGAACTTGCCATAGCTTAATCTTTACAGTATATCTCTTGCATCAAATGCTTAAAAATAGAATATACCATGTTCCAGTAAATTCTTTGCCATGTTTACCGTTTTATCATATGACATGTGTTTAACTTTATTCTTCCAGTAAGATACTACATTATGAGTTGAAAAGTGTTACGAATGTGTCTAAATACATTTTTGTGCAGGTTTTGGAAAGTGATCGTCCTCAGCCTGTCTTTGGCATTTGCATGGGAAATCAGATCACTGCTCTCGCTGCTGGAGCCAAATCATACAAACTTCCTATGGGTAACAGGTAATGGGATTCATAAAAACATTTGAATATTGTTGGATCTGTGGTAGTAAAGTTTCATCTGTTTCTCTGACTTTCACTTTTTTCTCTTTTTTTGCCTATTGTGGAATATAATAACATGATGCTCTGTTTTATTCATGTGTGGTTTCCCAGGGGCCAGAACCAGCCAGTGTTGAATGTGATGACAGGCCAGGCCTTCATTACTGCACAGAACCACGGCTACGGCATTGACAGTGAGTCCCTGCCCGAGGGGTGGAGCCCGCTGTTCGTCAACGCCAATGATGGCACAAATGAGGTTCATATTTAGTCAAAATACTGAATTTTGTATGGTGCTTACAAAGGATCAGGCCATTTTACAGAAATTCTATACAGTTATGGATTTGAATGTCCATTAATGAAAATAAATATCTTTTCAGGGCATCATGCACAAAACCAAACCTGTTTTCACCGCCCAGTTTCATCCAGAGGCTAAAAGCGGTCCCACTGACACAGAGGTAATTAAACAGTTAGAAAGTAAACGTTTAAGATTCTTGCTTGTCACTGCTCCTATACACTGTAAGTGTCTGTACTCCTGTGTGGTCTGCATTTTGTGAGATCATTACTGTATTTGATTCTAGTAAGACACTAAACAAGCATTTCTTTACATGTTTCTTTAGAGTAAGTTGTTAAGTACATATAACAGGTTGCACAATCTATGTCTTTAAAACATTGCTAACATAGCATGATGCATATTGATGACATAGATTCTTTTTTTTTTTTTGTACTGAGCTCTACTTCCTGTATTGTTAAACTTTTAAAAACTTTAAAAAGACTTTTGACTGATGTAAAATTTTTGACAGACTTAAAATTATTGTTATATCTACTCACCAGAAGTAAGTACCCGCCCACCAAAGTAATATTTAGAAGAAAAAAAAGAAAACTTGTCATATGCATTTTAAGGCTCTTGCAATAATAGAAATAATAGAAATCAAACAAGTTGAATCATACTGTACAGACAGAAACGGCGTTCTGAGAGGCCCCAGGTGTATCTGTGCCTGTTTGTAGTGTTACATGTGGGGAAGATGCTAGTTTAGCCTTATATTTGGCACTTGGGGTCCTAAGTTCAAGTTCCTGTCAAAATACGTTGCAACTGTCAAACTAATGCACTATGACAAGATGTACAGGTGACAGGTTGTTGCTCAGACACACATGTCCCTCATATTACTGCAGGGAAAATATGGTCTTAAATAATTCACTTGCTGTCTTGTACCTACATAATGCTGACCACAGTCTGTGCACTTTTTGCTTACCTCACATTTGGTTTGGTAAAAACAATCATATTTTAATGTATAATGTTTTTCAACCTGGCTGACCTAATTAATTATGCTAAAATGATTTAGCTAAACTGTTTCTAATATTGTTTTTATGCCAGTCTCTAACATTGTCCCTGTGTTTACAGTTTCTCTTTGATGCATTCATATCCTTGATCAAAAAAGGAAAAGATGGCAGCATAGTATCAATCATGCCTAAGAAACCATCTCTCCCTCCTAGACCTAAGGTACAGAATACTACATTATAAACAACTGACTGTCCAGTCATAAACCAGCTTTGTCAGTGAATACGACTTTGTGGACATAGGTGTCAAAGGTTCTGGTTCTTGGATCTGGAGGTCTGTCCATTGGTCAGGCTGGAGAGTTTGACTACTCTGGATCTCAAGCAGTCAAGGCTATGAAGGTATGGTAACATTTAAAATTACCTTCAAGAAATAAATATAAAATGTAGTTTAATTGATTTCAGATTCAAATCTATTTCATACACACACCTCTATCATGCATTTATTCAGTTAAGTGTCTTTACTGTTAAAAAATTGAAGTAAATAAAATAAAATAATAATAATAATAATAAAAAAACTTGCTCCATCTTTCCACTGATCTGACCTGTTACTTGGGTAGTGGCATCACCTGCTTGTCTCCATGGAAATAACTTCAATGCTATACTGTGGAACAATCCTGGCAAAGCAATAACATCTTGGAGACAAACAGATGGCAGATTCTCCACCAGACATATTACACAGTGCAACTTCAAATGAAAATGTAGATCACTGAATGTATAAGCTTTCTTTACAACACTGATGTCATCAGTTAGATTGTAATTAGAATGTAATTTAAGTGAAATATTCCATACTTTGGCATTTTTTCTGCAGGAGGAGAACTTAAAAACTGTGCTGATGAACCCGAACATTGCCTCTGTTCAAACTAATGAAGTGGGAACAAAGCAGGCGGACTCTGTGTACTTTCTGCCCGTAACCACACAGTTTGTGACGGAGGTGATCAAAACTGAACGCCCTGATGGCATCTTACTGTCTATGGGAGGACAAACTGCTCTCAACTGCGGTAATAAGTCTGCATCATTTTCCTAGCAAATTATTCATTGGTTTCAGACATAAGGATTCCTTCCTGATTTGAAGGATTTGGCATGTTATAGTAGTAATGCAATTCAAATCAAAATACTGTTTCTTTTGAATAAGAAAAGTCTTCAGAAAATCCGACAAAACAGGAGTCATTTGCCTGAAACTCATGAATACAAAATATGTGTGTTTCAATAAAATCATATATATATATTAGTGCTGTCATGCGATAAAAAAAATTGAGAGATTAATTAATTATGATCTGTAATTAATTAATCTAATTAATCTCATTTTAATCTCACCTAAAAATTGCTGAGAAAAGCCTTCAATTTGAGGTATTTTCATTTAAATTCATTATTACATTATTGTGGCAGATCAAAAGACTGATATAGATTTAAAAAAGTGACTTTATAAAGTCATTTATTGTTTAACAAATCTCTCCAAATTGGCTGTTGAGCCCAAGTCTCCATGAATAAGAAACTGTTTGCTGTAAAGTAGCAAAGACGAGGAAATCTGAACATAATAACTTTTGTCTACTTAAAGACAATAAAAAGTCCAGTCTTTCCTTACCCATATTAAAAATATTATTGATAGAGAAATGCTTTATATATGAGATCACTGGTTTTAGTCCTTGTTTTAGTCCTGGTTTAGACCTGCTTTAGTCCTACTTTAGTCCTAGTTTAGTCCTGGAATGGATTAATCCTTGTTTTAGTCCTGGTGTTAGTTCTGGTTTAGTCCTGGTTTAGACCTGGTTTAGACCTGGTTTTAGTTCTGGTTTTAGTTCTGGTTTTTAGTTCTGGTTTAGTCCTGGTTTAGTCGTGGACTGGTTTAGTCCTGGTTTTAGTCTTGGTGTTAGTTCTGGTTTAGAGGCGCACAGGAGGAAGCGCGGTTTACGCAGCGTACGCGAGAAAACACGATCCACACGCGGCTCACGGGAGCACGTCGGTGTCCGCGCAGTAACTACGGAAGGAAACGTGGTCCGCGCGTTCTCAGGTTAATGACGATGATGAAGGTGTGTGTTTGTGTTTGTTTGTGTTTGTTTGTGTGTGTTTGTGTGCGTGTCCCCTCATGTGGCAGGTCACTATAGGACAGTAGTGCAGACATCATGAGCCTATGCAGGTTGTTTTCACCAGTGACATTTAAGTTGTAGGCGATTTTATATTTGTTATTTTCTTTTATATCTTTCATCGGGAGAATAATTTCCAAGACACGAATGTGTTTTTACCTGTGCACTGCTGACTCTGTTCTCCTGCCTCTTCGACCTCGTCCATTGAGCGACTGACGCCGCCAACGTTAACATGACGTTCACATCGCTGTTACTGCGCGCGTTTTGTGTGGGTTTCCGGCAATGAGTGGAATTACCGAAATGAAAAAATGTATAAATGTGTTTTTGTGTGTGTGTGTGTTGTTGTCCCAACAACACATAAAAACAGGTTTTATAGTAAAGCAACTCGCATACAGAAACAGTAAAGTTAGAGATTAAACATGAGATTAACGTGATTAAATATATATATATATATATATATATATATATATATATAATAACTAAATAATAAAATAATACATCTATTACATAAAGCATTTTACATTAATATTTCCATGGTGTCAGAAATCATTAAATTGTAAAGTTCTCACAGTTAACACTTAAATTTGCTAAGATTTCATATTGTGACATTCATTTTTAGGAGTTGAATTGTTCAAAAGTGGTGTCCTGGAAAAGTATGGGGTACAAGTGCTTGGAACCCCAGTGGAGTCCATCATGGCCACAGAGGACCGGCAGCTGTTTGCAGATAAACTCATGGAGATCAATGAAAAGATTGCACCCAGTATAGCTGTTGAATCTGTAAGCTGTCTGAAAATGTATTTGTAGTTATTCATACGTACCTACTACTCAACAAGCTTCATTACAACGCATATTATTATTGTTCAGGTTTCAGATGCTTTGAAAGCAGCAGAACAAATTGGTTACCCTGTAATGTTGCGGTCAGCTTATGCCCTGGGCGGCCTGGGCTCTGGTCTGTGTGCCAGCAAAGTGAAACTTAAGGAAACAGCTCGCAAGGTCACAACTAGTAATTCATCATGGTATAACTAATTCAAAATATATTAACTGTTTGTTTCTTGTGTGCACCATGAAGGCTCTGGCCATGTCCAGTCAGATCCTGGTGGAGAAGTCGCTGTTGGGTTGGAAGGAGGTGGAGTATGAGGTGGTTCGTGATGTGGCAAACAACTGTGTGACTGTCTGCAACATGGAGAACTTTGACCCACTGGGAATCCACACTGGTAGATACTTAATACTATATGCATGGTGTTGTCTTTCCATGTTAAATGTGCATGGTGTCACTTTCTGGTAGTGGATCTATCACCTGCTTGTCTCCATGGAGATGTTATTGCTTTGCCCAGTATGGCATTAAGCCAAGTTTCAAGTAAGGAATCTGTGCAGAGGCAATGTCGCCCACAGAGTTTTTTCATTTTTTTTCAAATTTTTTGCAGTAAAAACACCTGTAATTTAATAAATGCATGATATGTATATATGTAATTTTAAATTTCTCTATGGAATATAAATGGTTCTGCATTAATAAGTGTTTCATAATTATCCACCTTGAGAGAAATTTTGCGTCATATTAGTATAGCATGTCTTTATTTCCTGGCATTTAGCTGTTTTGCTTATTACATTCTCTTCTATAGGGGACTCGATAGTGGTGGCACCCAGTCAAACTTTGTCCAATGAGGAGTACCACATGCTCCGTGAGACAGCCATCAAAGTGGTGCGTCATCTGGGTATTGTGGGCGAGTGCAATATTCAGTACGCTCTACACCCATCGTCCCTCGAATACTGCATCATTGAAGTTAATGCTCGCCTCTCGCGGAGCTCTGCCCTGGCATCCAAAGCCACTGGGTGAGAAAAATTAGAATGATTATGATACAAATACAACTGGCATTATAGGTGGGTAGCTCAATAGCTCAGTGACAGTGCTGGTGGTTAGGCAAGACTTAGCCTGCCTTGCCGCCCAGTGTTTACGTACACTGCTATATGAATGTGTGTGAATGGGTTACATTTCTTGTAAAGGGTTCTGAGTGCCTTGAGTTGAAGGCTGAAAGCACTATACAAGTTACATTATGTATCACCTGTTTAATATGACCCCAGTATGCAGCAGATCACAGACAACATCATCAGTTCATCTGTTCATGCATTATCTGTACTGGTTCACTTTTCCTCATAGACATATTTAAACATCAAGCAATTGAATAGTGAGGTTAAAATCATGACGTGGGTGAGTGAATCTTTTTTAAACCCCTAATCATTAGCTAACCCATAGTTGGTTAGCCTTTAAATATGTGATTATCTCTGTTTTTTGTGTTTGTTGTAACCACTTTGATAGATACATTTTGTGCTTCATAGGTATCCATTAGCATTTGTAGCCGCTAAACTAGCTCTGGGCATCCCTCTACCCGATATCAAGAACGCAGTATCAGAAAAGACCACAGCCTGCTTCGAGCCCAGTCTGGACTACATCGTCACCAAAATCCCACGCTGGGATCTGGACCGCTTCCAGGGCATGTCCCGGGAAATAGGCAGTGCCATGAAGAGTGTTGGCGAGGTGAGAGACTATGATCATTAAAATTATGCTAAATACTGTTTAGAATCCTATAGAAATCCACAACTTAGAAATAGAACAGAAGTCCTTAAAAGTATTTATTTTGTATTTGTTCAATTACAACATGCACTCACACTGTGATCAGGGAAACCTCTCCAGAGATCTCCTTGTTTTCATGGAGATAGACAAGTTTAATGCCACACTATGGACAAGATACACAATGCCCCTTTAACAAAGTGGCTTTTATGATGGTTACAACTGACAAGCAACTATTATGTATTTATACAGTTTTATGAGGGATTAAAAGAAGATATACACATTGAATTTTGTTTGAAAGTGTATGAATTAATGGTCTTGAGCTCTACTTCAACAGGTGTAAAAACCTGAAATTCCACCTTACATCCCCAGAGATGTGATTAGTGTTTGTTGTGGAATGTTGTGAATGCAGGTGATGGCGGTGGGCCGGACTTTTGAGGAGAGCATGCAGAAGGCCCTGAGGATGTGTCACCCCTCTGTGGACGGCTTCATGCCCCGACTGCCTCTGAACAAATCCTGGTGCCACTCTCACGACCTGCAGCAGGAGCTGGTGGTGCCCTCCAGCACCCGCATCTTCTCCATTGCCAAGGTACAGCCACACTCAAATGGGACATAGGCTGGATCCTCATTAAAGTCACAAACCACAGAAACCTGATATAGTACTATATAGTTGTAAGTGTTACTTGCACCATTTTCTTACAATATATTTTGTCAAGTTACCAAGCACTGTATCTGTATCACAAAATTAAATATTGTACAATTATTCAACTAATCAAAACAAAAATGCCTTCTAGACTGGAAATACAGATTGAAATATTGATAGTCATATTGACATTTGGTAATGAAACATACTTGTATATATTTTTGTTTAATTAACAATATATATACACAAAATGAAAGTATTAACTGTAGTTGATTAGATAAAGTAAGGTATGTTACACTTTATTGTCCCTGTAGGGAAATTTGTCCTCTGCATTTGCTCTTCAATCAGTGCTGCTGGGGCATCTGACATGTAATTGTTGTTCATATCATATGCATAGAAATCTGATGTATTCATTTTGTAGATATGTTTGTCCTTTTTCAATACAGCCCTGTTAGTCTTTTTAATGTTTTTACTTCACTCAATCAGATGGTGGTGAATAACTCTGAAAGGAACGCACTTAAACACAGGGTCAAGCTTCACTTCACAACAGGGACAAAATAAAGTATGGAAAAACCTCTCCAGTACTTCAATAATCTTTTATCAACAGTGCAGAGGATTGTGGATGTTATGTCTCTGCCAAGACCTTCAGCTTTGTTAGTTTAGGGTTTACTTTGTGGAGATGAAATTATCTTTTATAAATATAAAGAGAGAGAGAGTGAGTGGGTGAGATGCCGTTCGGGATTAATGTACCACATCGTATCTGCAGGCAATAAAACTCTAGAAATAATACCTCCAAGGTGATCAACACGTGCATTGCCCCCGTTTGGTATTTTTCCTCATAATTTCTTCCTAAAAACTGTAATGAACTTTTTTTTGTATAGTGTATTTTCTCTTAATCATATCTATATGTACAATTCTTTTCCATTAAAATCTGCAGTAATAATTCTCCTCCATCTTGGCTGGCCATTTTTTGTTTCATCCATGCAAGGTTTTACACACTATTTAGTAGACCCCTCCCACACTGTGCTGAAATTATTTCTTCTGTCAGACATGTAATGAAAAATAATAAAATTTATTTACTAGCTGTTGTCATGGGTGACCTTTGCCATATTACAAGTAAATGAGAAAGACCTGGTTGATATTTGATTTTTAATAACATGTCAGTATTGGAAAAGTAATATAATTGAATAGCATTGATTTTCCATCCTGCTTTGAAAAGATAGAGATTTTGATGACAAGAAACAAAAGCAGTGGTAAACATGTTTCTAATCAAGCACATTAAATTTATTCTTATAGGCCCTCCATGGTGGAATGAGTGTGGATAAGATACATCAGCTGACAGCCATAGACAAGTGGTTTCTCCATAAACTCAACAGGATCACACAACTGGAGCATTATCTGAACCTCTACAGAAGGTACTCAACACAAAGAAACAACATTAAGTGCCAAATATCTAATTAACTGTACAATGTTCATTTAATCTACACTTAAAATTAATTAACTTGACTAAAGGAAAACAACGTGACAGATTTGAGTGTAGCCTTTATTTACAAGAATAAAAACGTAATCTCATAAATCAGATACATTATAATAGATACATACAGTTCAATCACCAATGTCCTTTGCAGAGATCTAATTATCCCTGTTTGTTAGACATACATTCTGCTAACCCTATAACTTAGACATCCACAAACATGAAATGCATGTCTTTTGTGTATTGGTTAAGCAGTTCAAATTTCCTTAAAGTGTGCTCTGTTTTAATTGAATCTTCCTGAAGAGATAATATTAAATCACAAGTTAAATCAAAACAGTGCTTGTCAGAATTAAATATATTTTTCTATCATTTTTCAGCTCTTATCAGATGGCCCTCATTTTTTATCTTGGCTTGATACTGGCACAAAGTATTCACTGGCTCTTGATGCCATGTGGCTAGATAATGTTTCTCCTCCCTTCACTTAGAGTTATATAGTTTATGAAAAAATTAAAATTCACCAAAAAGTCAAAATTTTTCACATTTTAGCATTCTCGCACAGTAGTTCTCTTTCTGTCTCTCTGCCCTGCGGCTCTTAGCTGGACAGCTCAAATCAAAGCTGCTCTGAATTTTCATGCCTCAGTCACAGGTCACCCACTGCTTCCTTGTGACTGTTTAATAATGAATGTGTGTGTGCGTGTGTGTGAATGCGTGTGCGTTTGTGTGTGTTGGGGGTCCAGTGCTGACACAGGCAGGCTGCGGTGGTCCCGGGCCCCTGTAGAGCAGAGGACACTGGGACAGGGACACAGCAGAGGCCGCTGACAGCCTGATGGACTGTGGAGGTGATTGGCTTCAGGCTCTGCTGGTCAGCATCCTCTGTTTGTGTGCTTGTTGTCTTTGGTTCATTGGTGCAGGAGAATGAAATTTGGAAAACACTGGCAAAAATCCAGTTCCATATCTATATTGTCTTTTAACCAAAATTTATATATATATATATATATATATATATATATATATATATATATATATATATATATATATATATATAAACTTTCTACAGCTCACACAGGTTTTCTTTGCCAATATAAATTTCAAATTAAAGCATTTATAGTATACCTGCCAATCCATTGCTCTGATTTAATGTTGATTTTTCTTTTTGGTACATTGAATTTGACAGATATCAGGGATGTTGTTAAACCTCTAGTTAATTTATTTAAAAAAAGATTTAATTTGATTATATGTTTACTTATCAAATAACAAATTCATATTAATTGTCCTGCCTTAAATAAGTCATACCTGTTGAATAGATTTGATTACCTGTACTTGACTTTTATGGTCTTAAAAATGTGAAAAACAGAACTAGTTCATTTTAAATGGCATACAGTGGCCCAGATTAATTCTTCAGTTACCTTATGTATTCCAAGCTTCATAATTATTCACCTTATTATTTTTCATGATGGTTAAGGTATTAACAGCATGCTGAATTTGACTTGCCTATACTATATATCTATTGGGGCAAAACAAATATTGCTCAAATACTTGAGAAAAACATTTAAAGATGAATAATAACAGCTATAGCATATTTACTCTAACTGGATAGTCATAAATGAGTTATCTTCACAAATGAGAATGGAAAGTTTGCGTGTTAGTTAATAATCATTGACGGGTGCATTTTTTTCTTTAATGTGATTCTCCATTGAGGATAATTGTGTGTAGGATAACAAAGTTTCCATGTGAAATATTACTTTTCTTGCCATTTTGGGGTTTTCCACTCTTCCTGGCCTGGTTCGTGCTGTGGGAGTTAAAACACACTTGACATTTTCAATATTGTTGCTCTCGGTGGTCATAAATAATTCAGATAAGGAGGAGTAAGAGCAAGTGGAGCTTTAGCAGAAGCAAAAATTCACAGTTGGTGCTGCCAGTGCCTTTGTTAAAATGTATGCAAAACTTATTCAAATCAGTGGCATATTGTACTGCCAACAGTCTGCACATGTTTAACTATAATGTCAAATATGATTAATTATTCAATATTGTTGTAGCAGTGTGATTGCTACACACTATAAAGGTAGGACCTGACATATACACAGATCTTTGCAGAGGTTAGTAGAATAGCTGAAAGTTGTACAAATATTACTTTAAAAGTAAAGTTGCTTAAAATCATATTACTCAAGATAAAGTAGAAAGCATCCCAGTTATATTTAAGTTAGATTAAAAAAATATTTGTTAATAATACTAAGCAATGGAACCAGCATCACAATGGTGATTCAGAATGAATGAAATCTGATTAATTTACTTTTAAAGTTGCACAGAATAAAACTTTTGTCACTTTATACAAGTTACTATTTTTCTTCCGTTTTTGTGATCTCTCTCACAGTAACACAGTCCCCAGTGAGCTGTTGTTAAAAGCCAAACAGGACGGCTTCTCTGACCGCCAGATTGGTCAGATATTTGGTTCCTCTGAACGGGCAGCCAGAGAGCTCCGTCTGTCCCTCGGGATCAAACCTTGGGTCAAACAAGTGAGCACAACCAAAGTCTGAAGATTTAAGTCTGTAACAAGCTTTTTGTCATTTACGATTTCTTTTCTAGATTGACACACTGGCAGCAGAGTATCCAGCAATGACTAACTACCTCTACTGCACATACCATGGCCAGGTACGCAATGCCAAGTCAGATATATTTCATTTTATTATGAATGTATTGTAAGTATGGTCACAGTGGGTGAGTGGTAAGCCATACAAGTATATCCAGAAATTTTTAATCTACAACAATTTCTTTTATTTCTTTAGGAGCATGATCTAGACTTTAAAGACCAGGGCATAATGGTTCTTGGTTGTGGTCCATACCACATTGGTAAGAAAAAAGCAAAAGAAAAAAACCAACAAGTTCCAAATAAGTTTTCTCTCAGATTTATCTATTAACCTATAAGTAATTAAGCTATACTCAAAAATGTATTTAATTTGATATTTTAGGCAGCAGTGTAGAGTTTGAGTGCGCAGTGTCCAGTATCCGAGCTCTGAGGCAGATGGGGAAGAAGACAGTTGTGGTGAACCATAATCCAGAGACGGTCAGTACAGACTTCGATGAGTGCGACCGCCTTTACTTTGAAGAGCTGACTCTGGAGCGCATTCTGGACATCACACAACAAGAGGTAAACACACCCAACATTGCATTACATATATATTACATTACTGTTTATATTTCAGATCTTTAATACAGTTTTATGATAATGATCTAGTTTTATTGTTGCTGTAAAAAATTAAGAATACAAGAATGAAAATGTCTGTTATCAGGCAGTTGAAGCACAGCCAGTTAATGCACAATTTGCATAGCATTAGCAAATATAAATCTATTATAATATGTTTTTTAAGATCACAAAAACTCATGCAGATTTAGACATGGCGGTCTCAGTAATTTAATTGTTTGTGACATCTTCAATATTATATTATCACATAATGTTTTTTCAAAATTATAATAGCAATAATGCATTTTATTTATGGGGACATTTCCCTCACAATAAAAAAACATAATAAAAACAAAACAATGAACAGTAACACTGTTAAAAAGTTGTAAGAAATGTTATTATAAAATGTGTATAATAAAGAAGTTAACAGCATATTCAAGGGATTATTGTGTGCTGTAGACTGGTGTAGAAGAGATTGGTTTATAAACAGGATTTGAATGTCATGATTGAAATTTCCAAATCTGGGGTTATTTTTAGAAATATATCTTTTCTTTATCTGGAGCAATTGTGTCCAATCTAAACCCAGTAACAATATTTTTACCTTTGGAGTGAAGCAGGGGCATTAAAGCTGCTAAGTTAAGTCACTACAGAAAATGGGAAAATCTAAATGTGCCTAATTGAGTCATTTATTATGCAGACAGAGCTAGATGAAGAGCTTACTTTTAGTTGCAGGTGTGGGTCTCTCTCTAACACTGAGGGCTCTGTGGGTGTGGAATGAAAAGGGTATAATATGGTGCAGACTAATGTTAGCTTTAGTATTAATCCTGATTGGCACTGTCTTGTGTTAGTGTTCTTACTAATTGAAAAGCTAGTACAACACAGCTCATGGTATTCTCTGCCTCACAGCAAGAAGGTACAGGTTCTACAAGATCAGGCTCTATTCTCTGACCATGTGTGTCTTTTCTGTGTGGAGTTTGCATGTTCTCCTCGTGTCAGTGGGTTTTCTTCCAGGGCTCCAGGGTACCTAGCTATCTAAAACATGCAGAGAGCTTATCTTCCTGCTACTTACTCCTGACCAAGATTCTGACTTTAGATCTGGAAATTTGCCCTGTGAGTCCTATACTGCTGCCCACTGCTTCTGACAGCTTGTAGAGACCCAATACTCGACAATATTACTTTACAACTGTAATATGCTGTATAGAGAAACAAGCAAACATTTTAAACTAATATTTTTCTGGCCACAGTGCAACATGTCAATTGAGATGCTTTAGCCAAATCAATGGTAAGTAACTTAAAGTGCCATGAACAAACCCAATAAGCTGCTGGGTTACTACTGGTAAATATTTTTGTCACTACACCTCACTACAGTATAGTTTCAAAACACATTTACCATCCTAAACTCTACATTGGTTTAACATTAGAGCAAGGGAAGTTTTTATGAAGTATAATGACACAATCCCAATCTCTAAAGGCGGAAACTTACAAGCATTCCTTTGTATCAGCTGCTTAGTCTAAGTTTAGTTTATTAATTTTCAAACTCCCAAAAACTTTTATCTTTTACTATTGACTTTTCCCCATCACGACTTTCCTTAGCTTAAGACCCATAATCCTGTACAATCCCTGTGATGAAGTGTTTGTTCAGGTAGATGGCGTTGGCATCAATCCCCCTCTCATTGCTCCTGTCGCCCCCTGTGGGTATATGCCTGCGCTTGCGTCTAAAGCTTGTGCCTTTGTGATAAATGCAGCATTAGTGGCTTGAGATAGACTCTGGACAGGAGCAGGAGAGCGGCCCATGAATAATGAACAGATACAACCTGGCGTTACCGTGGAAACAGCATCCCCCCGGATCAGACCGACGGCAAGAGGAGCTGCATCTAGTTATTAAAAGAAAGCATTCAGATCTCCCCATGCACCAACTGTCAAAATTAAAGCAACTCTGCTCTGTTTCTGGCTAACTTTTGCTAGCACGCTAAAAACAAGAAGGGGTAGGTTGTGCTGTTAAGAGCTGGAGCTACCACTAAAACACTGACAAAACATTACTTTTAGATGCACTATGTAACTTTTTAAGATGCTTGTTTCCAAAGAGATGTTATTGCTTTGCCTAAATTGAGCCACAGAATGACTTTAGACATATCTATCTATGTGGAGACAAGAAAGTGACTCCATCAAAGCTACAGGTCAGATGTGTGGAGAAGTGACCCTGCCAACAGTAATTAATGCAAGCATTTCCAGGTATTTTTTGAGCAATAACAACCTGTAATTTAGTTGAATACACTAATGACAGATAAGTTTATGCCATATTACGGGACATTTCAAGGAAAGCAAAAATATCTCCATGGATGCAAGCAGTTGGTGGACCCTCCAAGTTATATAATTCACCTTTAATGTACATATTTGAATTAAGTGTTGTGCCCTCTTATTATATTATGACAAAACACTGAGATTGTCTTTGCGTGGAAAACTAAAACTCAGTTTGAAATCAATGCATCTGGTTAAATTATTGCTGTTTACAAATTAGAAATAACACAGAGGAATAAAAAGTGAAAGCGTGTCTGAAAACTCAATAAAGATCTCCCGTGGTGATGTGTTTTGTTCAGAATATTAATGATATTTTGTTCCAGACTCTAAAATGTGCACTGTTCAGTACTTTTCCTCCTCAGTTTCTGTCTGTCTCTCTCCTCCCTCCAGGGCTGCTCTGGCAGTATAGTGTCAGTAGGAGGTCAGATCCCCAATAACCTGGCTGTCCCACTGCACCTCAACGGAGTAAAGATTCTTGGGACCAGCCCGTTACAGATTGACCGGGCTGAGGAGCGCTCTGTCTTCTCCAGTATTTTGGATGACCTTGGAGTGGCCCAGGCCCCATGGAGAGCGCTGAGTTCACTGGTAAGATGAACTAAATAATGTATAGAAGAGTCACAGAGACAGAAGTTCCCACTGGTTTCTTATATAGTCCAGAAATGCATTAAACATTGTCTCATTTTGTCTTATCTTCTGTGAATCCAGATTGCTTAGTGTGTGTGTAGTTTTTGATTTCATAATAATATGCACTTGATAAAACAAGTTATTTTCATTGTTGTTTTGTTTGTTTGTGTTTTTGTGAGAAGCAATGAACAGACTTTGTGAAAAAATCTGTAATGATCTGAGGAACAAAATGGATTAGTTTTTGATTTTGATTCATCTGGACTGGAGCCACGGAATATTGTTTACTATCCTGCAGGACAGATCAATATGGCCCATAATTGTAATCATCATATAAAAGAAAATTTGAGATAATATAATTATAAATAGATAACTATAAATAAATACATTATAAATATAATATAAATAACATTTTTAATATTTGTAGTCGGTTGTTTCAAACTATCTATTAACATTGTCACTGTTAATATTTTTTACATGGGGTTTGAACTGTAGTAGAAATATGAAAGAAAAATATATCATAAAGGGTATGATATGGTCCAGTACTATGATTGCAGTTAACTTGAGAACACTGTAGAGCTCACCCATTTCAGAAAACAGAACATTACAACTTCACTGGACCACTAAATTGACACACTGACACACTAGTTATGTGATAGTGGTCACGTGTGAGCTTTTCATTATATTGATGAAATGCAGTTCAAATCTTATTGTTCCCACTAGTGTATGTGTTTTATCTTTCTGAAACACATATTATTTGGTTGAAATAACTTCAGAAGAGCCCCAGGGAGGTGGTGCTTTTGAGTTAGGGGAGCCTTTGTTTTCTTCAAAGGCAAAAAAGACTAAACAGAAAAGGTGAAAGGCATCAAGGTTGTGTAATAGTTGTTATGAAGTCAATTGAGAAAACAATGGATGGCAAAGCTTTTGTTTTATACTTGTCGTTCTAAATGGGTTCATAAGTAACATTTTAAAAAGTACATCAATACGATTTATTGCTTTGCTTCTCTGCTCCTTCTTAAGCTTCAACATAATCCATAGATTTAGGTCTAAAACACATGCACTCTGTAACAAGTTAATTCAGGCTGCACAACCAGGCTTCCTCTGGAGACATCCTTGAACTATTTGAGATTGTTTTAAAATTACACGAGGCTTGTATACTGTTTTGCAAGAACAGCATTTTATCTTTGTCTTCTCAAAATGAATTTGTACGTGTACTAGTCCCTTAAGCAATCAGAAATGTTGGCAAAGTTTCAACTTTATGCCAGGCCAACAAAAAAGTAATCTACAGCACATAAATCATGCAAATTGTGTGTCATAACATGCTTGTGGATATTTTTTATTTTTTTTTTGCTTTTAATATTGCATTATATTTGTACCTGTGGCTGTGACTTGGATTATATTTTATACACGGAGTGTTTGATTATAGTAGCTGCTATATCTAAATATTTTTCCTGAAAATCAGAACTTACCACTTATTCTTACCACCTTTTCTTACTTTTACAGGAGGATGCCTTTGCTTTTGCCAACCAAGTGGGATACCCGTGCCTGCTTCGTCCTTCCTATGTGCTGAGGTAAGTTATAAAATATTTCATGCACGTGATACGAGATTCTCACTCCTAATTCTCTTATCGCAACATATTATATATTTTTTCTTCAGTGGGAATAAAAAATTATATGTATGTAATGGATAGTTAGCTTGTTAATTTTTTAGTTGGCATTTACCTTGAATGGCAGGTTATAATGGTTTTTTTTCTTTTTTTCTGAATCACATTATAGTAGTTGTAGACAGGTATTAGTTTATTATTCATATGTGCATGCAATATCACAGCTCTCCAGTAGATGTCATGGTGGCTTCCTGTTTTGCAAGAGTACTTTGTCAAAATAAGACTGTGTAATATACACTGGACTTTATGGTTTTTCGGGCATGGGGGTGGTGGTGCTATAAAATGGGTGCTCTGCCTCTGATCTCCTCTCCTCCCAAACAGTTTTTGCTCTTCTCTGACACTCAGGGTAATGCTTTTTGAATGTTGCTCTCATCTGCGGCTCATATGCACAAACACGTCCATTTACACCCCAAACCCTCTCCTCCTGTCACATTCAGGCCCCTATTTTTTACACTAGTGACTTAAACTGTGCTAAAACTCACTTTGTTTGATGTGTTACTCGCATATCCACTGATCTTCTGGACTACTAAAATATTGTATAAATCATAGGGCTGGGTGATATGAAAACATATCCTTATATTTATCTAAAAAAAAGCTTTCAATATAAATTTTCCTGAACATAAACTACACAGATTCAATCACTCAAATGCCATTTAACAGAGATTAATAGTCACATTATTCGTTTGTGGGGAATTTTCACTTTATAATTTGAGAATGATATTTCATATTTGAGAATTATTGCTTAACCTGCTGAGGGCAAGCAGTTCCTCATATGGGGAATATGCATTTTGATCCTTATTTTAAGATTCTCAGTTGCCTCAGATTCACATTTGTCATTTTGCTCAGATAAGTTAAAATTGCTCAGATAAGTAAAAATTTTCAACATTATCACATTTTTAAGATTTCTTAAAAAATAAAGAATACCTTCTCTACATCTATTTTTACTCAGATATACTTAATTTATCTGTTGCACCAACCATATGAGCACTGCACTCTGCATGTCAGGCCACTGGTCCCACAGCTCTGCCTTGGAGCCTGCAGCCATCTCTGCCCTGTTTCCTCCTGCCCCTGCCCTTCAGACAGGAGCAGAACAGTCCACCTCTCTGTCTCTGAAATCCAAAACAACAACCACAACAAAACTCGCCTAAATCTGTTGTGTTTTAATCACCAAGTTCTGAACTGGTTTTCAAGAGCCTGCAGTGGTTTTCGACCTAAATAGCAGCTCTTTTTTCTCCTTCTCCTCTCTCTTCTTATTTTGAGTGTTTCTAGACCCCGTTCCCGATGGTAATAGTGATGCAACATGGAGATAATGAGTGTTTTGAACCATCATTTGAAGCTTGTATGTTCTCCTGTTTGCTTGCTTCTGCTCCTCTCCTGTGGCCTTTTGTTTCATCCTCCTTCTCTCTCTGTTTTTCCGACCATCTTCAGCGGATCTGCCATGAACGTCGTGTATGGAGAAGAGGAGATGAAACGCTTCCTGGAGGAGGCCACTCAAGTGTCACAGGTGAGATGAGTGACGTCTGCTCTTGTAAGAAAATAAACAACCTTCATACTAATCTGTTGTATTATTACTGAACAAGTAAACATGCACTTAGTAACTTCTAGTGTAAGGTCTTGCACCTACTTGTCTCTATGGTAGTATTATTATTTCATCTCAAAGGTTTTACTGTATGGCATTAATGGCATATAGGATTAATGCCATACTGTGGAATGTTCATGGAAATAATAATAATAATAATAATATCTTAATATAGTTATATAGTGCTCTTTTAAATCCTAAATATCCTAAAAAAAAAAAAAAAATAGACTTGATTGTTCCATGCTATCAATTTGATACTGACTAGGCAGTTATGTAGAGCAGGTTAATACGAACATTTTAAGGCCAAAATGACGAAGCTCATAAGCAGTTACAGAGAGAGGGGCAACAGTATTTCAGTGTAAGTCAATGGGAGCCAGGGTCAGAAGGAGCTGGAAGAGCCTGTACGCAAACTTACTATTTGGAACGTGGTGGCTAGCGTGTTAGCAATGTCCATTTATATATACAGTCTATGCATTTGACACATAATCTGTTAACAGTACATACGCAAAGACAACTGTTCAACTTGTTAAGGATACAGATATGGCATACATTTCTCGACTCATTTGAAAGCGTTGTCTATCTCAAGGGTTTTCCTAAGTCCTTTGGGGGACTCAAGTTCTGACCTCTTTAAAAATCTCCTGGAATAAGACATTCTCATGAAATCACAAAAACATAAAGTTTCCTAACTTCTTCGTGTTATGTAATATATATTTTAGAATATATTGTAAAATGAGGGGTGAAGTCTTCAGAGAGAGCCGGGTCTGAGCCGTTTATAATTCATTTCTAGGAGCATCCGGTGGTTATCACAAAGTTCATCCGTGGAGCCAGAGAAGTGGAGGTGGATGCTGTGGCCAAAAAAGGAAAGGTATGATCCACAACTTCTTGACAAAGCTATGCTGTGATTTTTAAAAGTAATAGTAATAATAGTTAATAGCAATAAATAAAAGTAAGGTCACCAAATTAATTACTTCTTTCTTGCCTTTGTAATTTGAAACTATGTAGTGAAGACGCACTTTTAAACTTAAAACTGAAACATTTGACAGTATTATAATCATGTCAGATATTTGCTAGCTCATTCAAACATATTTCCTGGATACTTCAACCCCTGAAATACAAACAAATGTAAAACCTGTTACCGCTCATATTTTATATAGGTGGTAAAACTTCCTTTATTGATTTTTGAACTTTGGTTTAGTAAGAAGGCTTGTCCTGAGTCTGTAGAAGTAATTTGAAGGGTGTGTGAAAGTGGCCGGTCCAGTTGTGAGGTAGATTTGATTTGTCTGTACTTCCTCTGAATGAACGTCTCCTATATCATCAGTATCACATTAACACAACGTCCATTTATTGAATACTAAACAGGCTTCATTCTTCTGGCCTGGTCGCACTATATGTGTGGGAGAAAGTCAGAGATAACATGTATTAATTACAGGCTGTATCAGAAGTGCTAATGAATGCTGTGGTTAGCAGCACTTAGCTAATGACATAGCAGCTCATTTTCAGATACATGCAGTTTGGTGGTGATACAAATCTCCTCTACTGGGACTAAGTGTCAGAAGTTTCCTTTGACATAAGCAGGAAGCAAAGTCTATTTAATGTTTGTAAACATTAAAGAGAATAAATTTGTCAATTCTAGATGGTCTCAGCAGTCTTATTAGTATCGTTAAGTGTTGACCATTATTATTTATTGCTGTAATTAAAATATCTTATTAGCATGAAATCCTAATGGCATTTCTAATTATTTACAGATATGCTTAGATTTAATCCTTCATAAACTACATTGTGTACTTATCAATTATCTGGCCCTGTGAAAACCGTATTTAATTTAATATAATTGTCCTCCTTTGTAAACATGCATGGAGGAAAATAACATGCATGCACAGATTTATATGCATTAAAGATAATAACAATATACATTTTGTTGTGTTGTTTGGTGTGATATTACATTTTGATGCCACTCATTGTCTGGTCCATAAAAACTGCACTCTAATTTGTTCATATGTCTTTAGGTGCTGGTCCATGCCATCACAGAGCATGTAGAGGACGCAGGCGTGCACTCTGGAGATGCCACGCTCATACTCCCCACCCAGACTATTAGCCAGGGAGCACTCGAAAAGGTCAGTAATTGTGCTATCATATTTCTCAGTGAACAATAAACCATTCACTCTCGCATAAAATGTTTACAGCCACTTTCATGCATAATATCGTTGTGCCTTTTTATTTCTCATTACTCTCAGGTTAAGATTGCCACCTGGAAAATTGCCAAAGCATTTGAGATTTCAGGCCCTTTTAACACCCAATTTCTGGTCAAAGGCAATGATGTCATGGTGAGTGATATTTCCGACTGTGTGAATAAATGTAATGGGGATGAGGTTTTCAGAAAAGGCAATTCAATCACATTTTGCTGGATAACCACTGCCGTTTCTGAATCTTCTTTTTTGTTTTGTGTGTTTTGTCAATTCTTTACCCTCCATTTAGACCTCTCATCTGCATCTTTTTAATTCCCTGGAATATGAATGTCCTTTCTCACTAAATCTACAATGAATTGTTGTCAATGCTGATATAGGTCACAACATATAGAAATTAAGTTTCTTGAAGAGACACTATGTAAACCTGCAGGTGGAAGATCCAAATGCTTCTTCTCTCCATGGTTTCACCTGGAATGTTCCACAAAATGGCACTTATCTACATGGAGATAAACAGGTGATGTCAGGTGATTTCGGTCAGTAAAAACGCCTGTAACAGAAAACTACATTTTTAGGAACTTTCCAGGCAACATTTCCATGATGGACTCTCCACCTGAACATTTAAATGGTGTATCTGTAATTAAATATATATAAAATACTACTATAAATAACCTAACCTCAATATCTATTGTCTGTACTAGTCTTTCACTTCTTATCTCTAATCGCAACACCATCTCAACAGCTCTATAACTCTCTCCACCTCCCTGTCTTTTTCTCAGTGCAGTTTCTTAATAGAATTTACGATGTAGCAAAATTCATTGTTGTTATCGTCCGTAGGTGATCGAGTGTAACCTCCGGGCATCTCGCTCCTTCCCATTTGTGTCCAAAACTATCGGGGTGGACTTCATAAATGTGGCGACCAAAGTGATGGTGGGAGAGCCGGTGGATGAAGCCAGCCTGCCTTCTCTGGACAGACCATTCATTCCTATCGACTACGTGGGCATCAAGGTATGAAAGAAAATTACTACATACAGCTGTTGTGAGCTTCTGGACTCCAAGTATATTTTAGATTTAGATTTTAATGTTTTCGATTTTTTTTAGGTTTGGATTTATGAAAATGAATTAGGTTGTTGAATATATTTTCTTTTATACTTTAGAAGAATGTTTAGGTAGGTGCTCTGTGTAACCATGAAGATGTTAGTGCTTCATCTGCACTTCATCTGCCATACACTGCCATACACTGCCAGTGTATGGCAGTGCAAATATATTAGACTAAATTGAAAGTTTTACATTAACCATGTATGATGCTTATCGTAAAATGCCAAATAATAGCCAGGTTTCAATTAACTGCCAGGTCCCCTTTAAAAGCCAGGTGCAGGTGTCTATTTTGATAAATAACCCCTGGTTCCAGATAAACGGCAAGTCTAATACAGTCTACTCCAGCAATCATTCTGGCTGGTGCCGAGGAGGCTGCTCAAACTCCCATTTCCTGTTTTTCCTTGCTTTATTTACCAAGATATCATGATTAGTAAGCAAGGACACCATAGACCACATGATGGTTACAACCGACATACTAGCAGTTTGATTTCAGTTCAGTCCTGCCTTTATGAGACTGGTTGTGTGACTCAGAACGCATAGGCTATATTCTCTGCGCTGCGTCTGATCACCCTCACCTTCACTGAAAAAGTGGCGGAACAGATGACGTTGCTGTGAAATCCCTATTTCGAAGTGATGTTAAACAAAACAGAAAAAAAAAGATGGCTCAACATAGCGGGCAGGAAATGGAAGCAGTTTTTAAGAGTTTTGGTAATGTTACTTCAGTTTGGCAATTTGGAGGAAGCCAGCAATGTCATTGCAGCTGCTGTAGTGTAAGGAAAGTTGTGGCAATGAGGCGGGGAAAGCAGGGTATGAGGTGGCAGGAATCGTGCCGACAAGGTAGGTAAAGTAATTGCCAGACCATAGCATAATGATGATGCTTCCTCTGAAGCGCGCCATGAAAACTGTAAATTATAGTCATACTGGTTAAAAGAATTTGAGTACCATATTTCCCCAGTTTTGCTGAGCAAGATTTTTGTGAGCAAGGAATTAATCGCCTGCCCCAAATTGCTGCCTGGCCTCAATTAAATGCCTGGTCTGTTAAGTGATTGAAACAAATAAGTGCCCTGGCTGTTATTTGGTATTTTACGGTAATATACAATTTCGGATATGGGGCTGGTAAGTATTGTGTTACTTTAACAAATATATCTGTGTTTTTCTCTCGCTATTTAACAGATATAAAATATGAGTTCATACAGTCTTTAATACTTCTAGCCTTCAACATTATTAGAAGTACAAAAGCATATACCTAATAGGCTACCCATGTCTGCCGACAGTTGGATCTACTCACCGTAGTCTTACCTTTTCTTTGTAGAGACTTCCAGTATGGTATAGTAATAGGTATATACTCCATTGGATATATCAGTAAAAAGACAGCAATTACTGTCATTGCCTTTTTTCCAGAGCATGATGGGCAAACGGAAGGGGGTGAGTTCAATCTTACACTGTCTAGGGGGCTTTACTTTTAAGATGCCATATGAGCGCGTTTACATGTTGCCAGCTGTTCCAAAGCCATTTTTTCCAAAGTAATTTCTCCTTCTAATTACAACAGAGCCGCTTTAACAATGGGTGTAGTTTGGAGCCAGTCACGCAGGTATAATCCCCTCTACTCTCCCACCTCCTAAAGTTTTCAATTTCTTCCCTGCGCACTGGTGAGGAATATTAATGACTGCCACATACTCTCTAGGCAGTGGCTCTTAAAGACTTGTGTGGGTTATGCTACTGACTTCACTCCTCCAGTTGGATGCGTGTTGAATGTTTGATGAAAAAGTCTTAATTTCTTATCACACCAAACACTTTCATCGCCATATCGAGTCCCAAACTGTAAACAAACTGTAATTTTGGGAAGTCATCCAGCTCTTTTCATAGCCTCAAGAGTCAGCTGTAGTAATACTGTCTACTTTCACTCAAAATTTCACTGTCCTCAAAAGGGGAGAAGCTACAAATGATGGAATATATTGTTCAAAAGGTGTCTTGATTTGAATTTATTTGTATGTAATCTTTTAGGTCAGTGAATTGTTTTGCATTTCATTTAACTGGGGATGTGAATTTTACATATTTCATAAGGTCTTGGATGCTAATTTTCTGTTGCATGCACAAGGCAACAAGTATAAGGAAGTAAGGAAGTAGGATGCATTCTTTGCTACAGAATTTCAAAATGAGACTAGAGCCTTGACAGAGGTCTGTGCTCTTATTCGCCCTATTCCTCCCACCGACTTCTACTTCTGATTGCTTCTAGCTCAGACTTAAGGTGGGACATTAAAGGTCCCATATTATGCAACATTGTCTCTTGTGAGGGTTAAGCCATGTTAAAATGTTTTTACTTCCTCAAATACATGCTTGTGTTTTGTTTCATTCACACATTTTTGAGTAACCCTTAATTATTAGTTTGTCTACATCAAAGCTCAAAATGCTCTGTTCCACCTTGTGATGTCCGGTAGTGATAGGTTTTCAAGTTAACAGTTAGCTTTTACCTTTATTTCAGTAGAAATTAGCAATTCCAGGAGTGAAATTATCCAAGTGATTTTAGTGAAGCTGTATGGACTTTAAAAACACAGTGAAGTGCTTCCTGTATTACCACATGACATCACAAGGTGGAATAAGAACTCTAAATTTGCAGGGTTGTGTGTTAAACATGTGAATGGATTGAAACACAACCCTAAGTATGTTTTTAATGAGGAAACAGTTCAGAAAATAGCATAACATAGGCCCTTAAATTACAAAGGAAAACTAGACAAAAATCTTCAAATATTCAATATTATATATATGTTCAAATATCATATGAAGTAGCTTAATTTGAGGAAATTATTGTTATTGATATTATTATTCACTGTTCATGTGAACCAACAAGTCAACGATGCATCAGTCTTTCTCTGGGTGGCTTCAGAATGGTTTTATGTGGTTTGTATGTAACTTATTTGCTGTTGACAATTCCATAGATCGAGGATTTCAAGCCGGAATAAAGAGAATGTTTGGTGAATTTTATCAAGGGGAAAGACATTATTGCCCTTCTTCCTACAGGATTTGGGAAAAGCTTAATATACCAGTTAGCCCCGTTAGAGGCACATTGCATCCGTCATGACCAAATAGCAGTGATTGGTTAAATAAAAAGTACCCGCCTACTGTCGAGCGAACAAATTCTAATGCTGTGAGGTCAGACTGTTTCCACAAAGTGAAACCGACTGAATCAGTCTAGCATGTGGCAACTTCTAGAATATAATTATAGTTTGTTTGTTTTTAATCTTTACTTCATACAGTCTTTCATAAAACTAAAAATGCTCTACTGCACTGTTGAAATAGTCAGAAAATATTTGCTTTATACAATGGTAGGATATGCCATGCCCTCGCCAATTCACAGCCCCAAGCCTTAATGTGTATTGCCACAGAATGCAGCCCACAGAGGCCAGTGTAATTTGTCTGTTTTCTGCTCCCATCCTTGTTCTGTCTCTCCTCTATGACAGTTTGTCTTGTTTTAGGCCCTGTCTCATCTCAGCTAACAAGTCTCAGTAGGGTCATTTCTGTCGCTGTGTTAGAACTCAGGGACAATAATGCGGCTATGGTTTTGGCACTGAGGGCAAAGTGATAAGAGGAAACAGCATTTGAAGAGACAACTGTTCACAATTACATCTTCAGTAACAGACTGAGGAATGATGGGGAACACAGTAAAAAATGTATGTCAGTGATTTCTTGTTTAAATATTAGATTACAGTTATTGGTATTTCACAGTAGCGTCTATTAAGGAAGACATCAAGGAAGACATGAGTCAGTGTGTGTAGGTCCTAGAGACAGGACTAATAGTAACTGACATTTTAAAGTGGCAGGTTAGACTCATTTTACTAAATCACAGTTAAGATACATTTTTACAAAAGCATTCACACTTGTTTTCCCAATTTGGCCATTTTTAGGCTTAAAAATTTACTTCCTGGTTAGAAATCCTGACATCACACTAGACTCCATAAATGTTATCTAGCAAAACTTCTTCTGTGTGCATAGAAATTATGATTTGACAAATTAAAACATAAGAAAACACCTTTATTTTTCTGTAATCGTGTTTATAATATCAGGAAAAAAATGTGTTCTGGGATAAATTGCGTCAAACTTTTGGATAGAATTCTCCCATGTGGTGTCAGTCAGTGTGTTTAGAACTCTAATTTTCCACATATTTTTCCATTTTTCTTCACAAATTGCTTCTTAATTAGTGTAAGACTTTCAACAGGTTTTGTCCCACCAAATTAAGTCAAAATTAGACAATCATGAAAATACGCACAAGTCATCCAATTTCATGGGCTCACCGTTTAATCTTTTTCAACACAAAAAGTTTAGTCGTTATTTTTTATCCAGCATATAAATACACACAAAACTTTATATTAACACTTTAATATGAAGCGAGAGCAGCACAAAACATGACTACACAGCTCTCTTATAGGTTTGTCTTAAAAAAGCATTTTCAGTGAGTTTTTAGTAAATTGAAATGACAAAATTTGTGGAAAATAATCAATATCAGGCTTATTGGCTACTGGTTTCTCTGGATTCTAAGCTGTCACTATCGGCATCGGCCATGAAAAAAAACCATAGCATCTCTATTACTTACCAATAAAATAATACAGCTATTTAGAGGTGAGGAGAAAACTCAGTTTGTCGACAGGACAAAAGTTAGTTTGGTTGAAGACGTTTTGCAGCTCATCCAAGCTGCTTCTTCAGTGATGAGCTGTGAAACGTTTTCAACCAAACTAACTTTTGTCCAGTTGACAAACTGAGTTTGGATTCTACCTGGACAACTGAGGGATTCTTCACACAGCTATTTAGAAAAAATGTGTCTTTTTCCATTCATATGTTCATTTGGGACAATAGTGAAGATGTGGTGCAGCAGCAGCTTCACACTCAGAACTTTGAGTCTGGTTGAGCTCAGCTGGTGCCTTCGATAACATTGTTATGTGTGTGAGGCGTGGCCAGTGTGGGGTGAGGCTGCTCTTTACACAAAGGATGTACAAATCCTCAGTTGTGTCGTACATTTTAAAAACATTTGTGAAACAATGCAGAATTATGCATCAGAACACTGTATTGTCTGTATTTTTATTGTATGCCTGTATAGATGCCTTTTTTAGGCAATTTTGTGTTTTACACCAATGGTTTTATCACTTCGCAAATAACATCGTAGTCACAAAATTAAAACACTGGTAAAATGAAAACCTGGATTTAAAGATTCACTATGTAACATTTATGATGGATGGTGTGCCACCTCCTTGTGTTATTGCTTTGCCTAGAATGTTCCTCAGTGTGGCATTAAACTCGTCTATCATGTTTTTATTTTTAAAACAAAACGCACTGAAAATTGTTATGATTTTTCATATTAAAGGCTTAACAAACACATAAAAATAAACACACAATAACAATAACCACACAGAGACAAGTGTCAATGGCAATAATGAACTGCAAACTTATAAATATTCATAACATTCAATATTGTGCAAGTCATTATAATAATTACTTTTTCAAAAACTCAACTAAGGGTCTACAGATGTCCTCCAATGCCTCAGATTTTCCTCTTGAAATAAATCTTTCCAATGCAACACAAGATGCCATTTCCATAGTCCAAACCTTTTATAGTGTATAATAAGGCAATAATTCTTCTGGCTTACAGGAGACCAAAATCCACCAGCAGATGACGTACCAGTCGTCCAAAAAAAGTTACATTGTGCACCTAGACATGAAGTGAGCTTGAATATAATTTACAGGTTGAGCAAATTTGAGATGATGATTTTTAAAGTGGTACTATTTTGTTGCTTGGGACACATATATAGAAGCATTGTGGTTTTGAATGGGTGACACAGAAATCGACAAAATGAAATGGATTATTTACAAAAACATTGATATTGTCTGCTTTCTGTTGGTCTAAATATTCTTCTTATCCCTGTTCATTTCTTTGGCGCTCTTTGCCCATTAGACTTCTCCTTTCAGATGTTATCCCCTCTCTACTTGCGTCTCTCTGTGTCAAATATATTTTCCATTTGGTTTCCATAATCTTCCTCTGTATCTCCACACAGTTCTGTTTTGTCTGTCTCTTTGAAACTGCTTTGATAAGACAGCACTGGTTCCCTGTCTGCCTCATTCCTTTCTATTCGTTGCCTGGTACATTAGTATGCCAACATTACATTGGGCTGATTAGATAGCCCGCTTCAAGGATGAATCCCCTAGTGGCCTCCGAGTGCGTGTGCGTGCACGGACCAAAACTGCACAGCTCCAAACCTCTTTTCAAGGCAATGTGGCCTGGTCTGCTTTTTAAATAGAGAAATAAGAATGTCGGTCCACATGGCGTGACTGTGTTGCACTCATTTGTATGTGATCAGCTTTGTTCTAGTGCTCATAATGGTGTATTTCTGTTTTTTGTCAGTATTTTTCCTCTCCTGTCCACCTCTTTTTGTCTCACCTCACTTGACCTTTTTATCATCTTTCATTCATGCTGCCTCCAGCATTGTTCTAATATTCAGAAAAATTCAAGAAAAAACAACAAAACATGCTTAATTAGAACAAAAAATTCACTACTCTGGGGAACACTAGCATTTCTGTTGGGCTTGGTTTTAGCACCTGTTCAATAATTTTCTTTATTTTTTTTGTTATAATGATGTTTTATAATTATTCTTTTACAAGTATAATTTATTTAACAAGTGTGTCTTAACAGTGTTGTGTAATGTGTAATCCTACACTTGGTTAAATGGTTAAATATATTTTTTATCATCACAGTATGCAAAGACAAGAACACAAAATGTGAAATACTTTATTTAAGTGTTTTTGAGCACAAACCACAGTTTTGAAGGGATGACCGACCTGTTACAGAGGAAACTCTGAGTCACCTCTAGGTGGCAGCAGTGTCATTATTGCCTGAAATTATTCCAGTGGGACTCTTGTTGTATAATGTATGCTGTTTATGCAGGACTTAACAGAAGTGTGCAGGTGTGAATTTTCCAGTTTGCCATGGGAATTGTATTTCATATTTTCATTACATGACCATGTTCAGGTTTAACAGTAGTGGCTTATTACTGAGAATATATGTTCTGCATTAGCTCTTGACAGCCAGCAACTTGTAGCATCATGAAAGCACTCAAAGTTTTATGTTTTTCTCAGGCGCCCATGTTCTCGTGGCCGCGGCTGCGTGATGCTGACCCAGTGCTGCGCTGTGAAATGGCCTCCACTGGAGAGGTAAGACTCTCTGTTACACTTTAACAGCACACACATAGCGCTGGACAAAATCATATGTGAGGTACAGCTAACTGTTCTGTTAGAGGAGGACCAGTGCAGTGACAGGTTCCAAAGCTCATTCTAATAGATTGTGTATGTTTCTGTGTGTTGTCATGTCTTTAAAACATCCTGCTCTTGTATTTCATTATCACAGCGCTCCTCATGTACACTCCCTGTACTCTCAATGTTGTTACAGGTTGCTTGTTTTGGGCCAAACATTTATTCAGCGTTCCTCAAGGCTATGCTCTCCACGGGCTTCAAACTGCCCCAGAAGGGCATTCTGATTGGGATTCAGGTAAGACTGAGACTGAGGGACTTTGTCTGGGAGTCTGCAGCTTGTTTCTATGCTGCCAGACCTTTGTCTTCTCCTGTGTGCTTCTCTGAATACAGCGTCTGTTTTATCTGATCTCAAATCAGGCTCACATTTACTGCCATTTTTACTACCTTTTTGATACATTTACGGTATATAATACTGAACTTTTACTTTGTCAAAATTTACTATGTCAAAAATCATTTTCAAAAACTGGACCATGGATCTCTACATGAATTTGTTTATAGTGTATTATCGTAGTCGGCATTTGTATGTTTATTTTATTCTGCAGTTTAATGGTTTTGGGTGATATTGCAAGTAGTAATTTTCATATATTAGTTTTCCTACATACAAAACAGTTTGCCCACTTCATTCTAGCAGATAGTTCTTCTTAATTATCTTTTATGCAACCCTTCTGCAATATCTACATTGATTAGCATGGGGTCTTGTTTCTAAGGTGACCACTTTAACCATTTCCATCAGGACTGAAATAAAGTAATAAAGCCTTACAACATTTCCCTAATATGCCATAACGTGTTGTTAGCTGCAGCTGTAAAATATTTAACAACACCACAGCATGGAGTAAGTGCTGCTGACACACTGCAATAGCTAATACTGCATTACCACTGCATAATTAGAGCTTGGGGAAAATGGGTCCACTTTAAGTTCCAGGGTCAACTTTGCACAGCAGTATGACTGACAATCAGGCATACACAAGGGGGTGCACCTCCAAAATATACAGACCCCCACCAGCACTGTGTCCCAGGGCTCTGCTGACAACCACATGAGAAGGTTTAAACTTAGTGAGTCTGTAGAGAGGGGTTTAATGTAAAAAAGAACAACTATTTCAGTGTGGCAAGTAAAATGTCAAACTGAGCAAAATGTCTTCATGATATAATAATAGTGGAAAGTCTTAATATTGTGATTTACCCTGAATATCTCAGTTCAGAAAGTTCTTATTTCTTTGTCACACTGCTTGTATAGTTGACAATGATTCACTTTTCATAACATTCAAAGACCAGAGTTTTGCCGTCACTGTAAAGATTGTGCACTTCCTTGTTATTAGACAATAAAATGTTTTATAATTAGATGTAGACAGCAGACAGTGGACATATTGTGACAGCAGTAGCTTATACAATATATCTATACCAGGGCAAGATAAATTTTACTCAAATACATGGGGAAAAAATTGGGTTCAGGGCCTTTGCCCAAAGTGTAGGAAGTGATCAAAGCTGTATTTACTAAATATATTAATTTTCCAATTTTAGCAATCTTTTCGACCAAATTTCCTGGCTACAGCTCATCAGCTCAAAGAAGAAGGATTCAAGGTATTTATCCGGACTACTTTTGCAAATGTTACTACTGCTTTGTTTTGTCTGTGTATGTGAAACTAAACGGTGATTTTGTTTGTTCAGCTCTTTGCCACTGAGGCCACCTCCGCCTGGCTCTGTGCTAATGATGTGCCTGCCACTCCTGTAGCCTGGCCCAGTGACGACGGACAAGAGACAAAACTGCCCAGTATTCAAAGGTTAGAATTTCACAGGGGTTGAAATTATTATTCAGTTAAAAGTTGTATTATTATTTTGTATTGTTTTTCTGTTTTTTTTTTAACAGAATCTGAATTCAAATCAGTAAAAACACACAAATACAAAAACAATGCACTCAGGTCTTAGTTGTCAGCAAGAAAAGTTAGACATTTTATAATAAATTGTTAATAGCACAAGTTGAAAGTTGCATTACATAACTTTTCTAGTGGGCATTCTACTACCATGATGTTATTGCTTTGCCTGGAAAGTAGCATTATACCATAATAACAACATAATTATATCTAATTTGCATTTATTTATACTGTCAGAAAGATTACATCACCTGTAACTTGGCCTGGTGGCATCACTTGCTTGTCTCCATGGAGACAGACAACTTTAATGCCATACTGTTGAACATTCTTGGCAAAGCAATAACACATCCATAAAGACAAGCATGTGGTGGAACCTCCACCTGAAAAGTTACACATTAAAACCCCAATTTAAAAACAACTATTTGAAAATAGGAAATAGATCCAATTTGAGTGTAATACTTTTAAAACTGTTCTGCAATTATATTGGCTATGAGACATGATTAATTTGCATGGATTTACACTTGTGTGCAGCTACTTGTAAAACAGGGACTACTTAAACAGACAGTGGTTGTAGTTTTTCAGGTAATGATTCCAAAAACAAGTCATGATTGTGCCTCAATGAATCCATCTGGACCATATGTTTTCTTATGCTACAAACTGGTGAAGAGAAGGGTGCAACAGGAATGTAATAGGTCCCACACAGATAAAGACACAGGCAGCCCCAGTGTGCGGATGGCATCAGCTGTGACAGGAGCAGCTCTATATAGAGACGAACATGACCTTTATGGACACTGTTGACCAGCCTCCACATTTTTCCATTAAAATTCAGGCCTCATTTTACCATCAATGTCAGAAGGCCACCCATTGAAATGAAATATGACAGTTTTTTGTGGCAGAGTGAATGTATGAATGATAAATATAAGCATGCTCTTCTTATATGTATATGTATATAAATGTCTATGGTCGCTTGGGTTTAGTTTCACTTTTCCTTTCAGGCTTATCAGTGATGGAGACATTGACCTTGTAGTAAACTTGCCCAATAACAACACTCGCCACGTAAAGAACAACTTCCTCATTCGTAGATTGGCTATTGACCATGGCGTGCCCCTCATCACCAACTACCAGGTACTGAACTAATTATAGTTTTCAACTTACTTTAACAGGACTTTGCTCTCAGTGAGGTTTGATAAAGGCTAAAAAGATTTTGGATTCTGTTGGTGGCAATTACAGCGGTTATCTACAAAATTCTAATAGAATAAAACGTCAAAACAGGAGCAGAAAATGTGTTTATTAAAGGTGCTGCACTATGTAATTTTTCCGGTTGTGGGTCCGCTACCTGTTTGTCTCCATGGAGATATTGCTTTCCCTGGAATGTTCCGTGGTATGACATATCCATCTAGCCTTTATTCATTACGGGTGTTTACTCAAAAAATACAATAATTCCTTTTGTGAATAGGGGCGACTCTCCACAGATCTGAATTGTTATGTAGTGTAGTGCTGTAACCTGCTTGTAACCTGCTTTCACTCACATTGCATGCTTAAATTTGCAATTTATTATTATTATTATTATTATTTATTTTTTCAAAGCTATTATTCACATTAGTGTGGTAGAGCATGGCTATTTGATAAAGTAGAAATATGAAAAAAAAATCAATTAACAATTTTAAAATTATAAATAAAAAGTGAATACACAGTGTTTTGTACACTTCAAAAGCTAATTTGCTAACTGCGTCATATTGCAGGTGGTGAAGCTGTTTGCAGAGGCCATCCGTTACGCAGATGAAATCGACACGACAAGTCTTTTCCACTACCGACGGAAAGACAGAAAGGAGAATCAAGTGAGCCAGCAGGCATAGAGCTCCTGTCTTTCTTCTGCTTGATTGTGCTTTCTACTAAATGTTTCATGTATCTGATCTCTCCCTGAAGAGGGAGAAGATCAGATAGATACATCAGAGAAGAACCATGTGAATCATAACTACTGAACGACAGACGTAAAACAACGGCAGTGCCTCTTGTTATAGTATGATGTTTACAACTTATCAAAGGCTCTGGTGTCTTTGGTGCTATGGCTTGTTTTCCCTGTGGATATTTATTTGCTCTCCTATTGTTCATAATTGTCTTAAGTACAAGCCTGTGAATAGCATGTTTATAAATAATAGCTTTTATTAAATAAGTATTGAGAAAGTGACTAATATCAAAGATCGTAAAGCTGATAACTGTGGTGCTGGCCAGTTGATTTGTGGCCAAGTATTTTAGAAAGAAATCCTTTTATTTTTTTTGTTTAAGGGCTTGTTCATAGTGTTAAGATAAAACAAAACTGAACCTACAAAGGTCTGTGCAGAATGTTTGTTACTGAACTGTTACATGTTTTGTTGGACTGTAATAAAGTGACAGGTCAAGTGGTGTGAAGATGTCACTTAAATGGGTAAAAATAAGATGCTAGATGTCCAAACACGTGACTGATTATAAACTAGGGTTGTCAAAAGTATCAAAAATCTGAGTTAGCAAGTTTTTATACTGAAAAAATGCCATGACAAAATCTGACCTTTCTTGCACAGTTTTAGAGTAATCTTGAACTTTATCAACATCAATATAGATTGCATGATAACTTAAAGAAAGCTCTATTATTTGGTGCTGAAAATTACATTCTATTGTCTAAGTGTTTTTTTTCATCATTGTGGTATAACATTTTTGCCTGGACGAATCCACACTCATCGCTGTACCAGCGGCTGATATGGAGCTGTATAACAAATACAGAGAAATATCCTTCTGGATTTCCAGGCAAATAAAATTTGATATCCAATACCAAACCTTTCCCAAGTGTCAAAATCGAGTTTAAAATGTTAATATTATGATGTATTCTTCAGTATTAGTTTCGTGTACCTTTTTCATTTGAGTTTGTGAACGTTAGTGGTGTGTGCGTGAGTGTTGGTGGTGGTCGGAGGGGCCGATGGGGCAGATTGGCAGCCTCGTTTTCGTCAGTCTGACCCAGGGCAGCTGTGGCTACAATAGTAGCTTACCACCACTAGGTATGGAGTGAATGAATAATGCTATGTAAAGCATCTTTTAGTCTTCAGAAAAGTGCTATATACAACTCCTGCATTATTATTATTATTGAACATTATATTAAACAACTATGTTTCTTATCTAATAGATTATAACTTAAATTGGATAGTTTTACTCCTTGAGTATTTTTTGTGTGACTGATGTTGTTTTGAAGTTGACCATGTTTAATTACAGACAGTAAGACATCTTCAAATAAAATTCTTGCAACAGTGTAACCCTCTTCAGACAAGTGCTGCCACTTGAGGACTGTCTTGGGCTCATCAGAATTATTTTAGCCTGTGTAACTAAGCAACAGCTGTAAACTATGTGGTCAGTGGGCAAGTAGGACCACTCTGAAGTAGCCTATGTCCCGATGGAGATGGTATTAAAGCAATTGTATCACTGTATTTTTTTCTATGTTTTTAAGCAATGAAAAAATCAGTAACTCATTAAATGCAAAATATAAAATATATTATTTAAGTTAAAAAATACCCATAAGTGAACTCAGCCCTTCTCAAGACTGAATAAATATGCAAAATGAGTATCTGGCAATACATCTGTTCAAGAAGAAGGATGAAAAAAAAACTAAAAAAACAACAACAAAAAAGGAAAATAGCGATAAGAGATTAAAACCAGGTACATTTTACAAAGCCCAGAGACAGTGAGCGCGAGCATGTTCAGAATTGTTAAATAATCTTGGTTCCGTAGCTCCAGCTGGCATGGGCCCTGCTGTTTTTGTCGGAGGGAGAATAAACCTGCCTAATTGACATGCGTTTTTCATGCTGAGCTAAATGAATTATTTACGGAGGTGATGTGCACACAGGGCTCAGGAGGCAGCCATTTGTCAGGCTTGACTCACAGATCACTTTGAAGGGCTGTGGAGAAATCTAGCCTGATTAAACAATGGATATATACTTAGCCACCTTCTGAACTAATGTTATTAGAAACCTTCTAGTGTAATAACTTTTTTTTGTTTTTATTGAGATTCAGTTTACAGAAGTGCACATTTTAAACACTGTCAATTTAAAACGTATTTGTAACTATTCCTGTTACGTTACATGTTATATTGACTTAAAATTGAATATAAACTGGAACAATATATTTTGGGGATCAATATTTTTTGAATGTACTTTTTTGTTGAACTAATGGGAATTTTTTTGTTATTTTTTGGCTATATGATAAAATTTAAGCTGTAAAAGGTTGAATTTATAACTGCAAACTAGTACTACTGTAGTACTGCTGTTTATCTTTTATTGTCTATATTTACTTCAGTAATGTATCATGTATCAAAATGTGTTATCGTGACAGGTACAGGACTATTTGTAAAAGGACTAATACAGGCTACTTAGAGCATGTTTGTTGCTTTCTAATACAGGTTGTAACAGGTTATACATACACTATGCACTATTAATATCCCAGTTTATTCAAACATTCATTCAGACTGAATGTATGGTTCTTTCAGCAGTTTATAGTGGCCTTTTGCTTTTCATAGAACATTATGAGATGTTGTGGTGCCATCACAATTTGGCCATTTCAATGTGTTGCTCAATATTTTGGCAATATTCTGAATCTTGTTTTTTGTGTTTTCTTTTGCCATTAAGAAGAGTACTTTGACCATTTTTTCCTCACCGGCCTAGGTTAGTCATAGTCCCATTGTCAGTCACAGTGAAGTGCCGTTGTGCAGAATTTGTGGATCTCCATAGAGCTGTGTTGCCGCAGTCCTCAGTCCAGTCAGTTCTGTGGTAAATTGCCTCCTGACAGCACGGAGCACCACATTAACTGTAATGGAGGCTTGTTTCAATAGTGATTGTGCAGCTTAATTGTTTTCAAGACGATCAAGCTGTTGAAGTTGCCATCTTTGTAAGGACATTATTGCCTTAATGAGGTAGCATGCTGCTAGAGCACAGCCACCTATGGTGTGACATGCTGTACTCACATCAAGAAATTGGCAATAATTTATGGTGTTGTTTGGTAACCTATTGCCTAAGGTTTAAAAAAAATACTTGTAAGAACTAACTAACTTATTTCCCTGTATATTCCTACTGCAGTGTACGTTTAAGGGCCTCTAAGGTTTGCCAACAGTATCTGGACTAGGACAAAGTGTAGCCTACATCTGGATTCTGGATCAGATTAGGGAATAATAGGGATGCCCCAGTATAGATACTAATGTCTTAACTTAACTTAACTTCGATATCTGTGATGATCCAGTATTTTTTTATTTTATTTTTATTTTTTTTATTGTATTGTTTCTATGCTATTGGTTCAGCCGATATTCTGGTCGGTTGTTTAATCAAATGAAATAAGACTACTTCATGACTGATGTAGGTAGTAGATATTTGCTGAATAAATAACCAATTATATCACACATGTGGATCAAGTTTGTAATAAGTTAACCATGTTTTGAGGAAACAATGCAATTTTCAGTCCCTACACTGATTAATGTTGGTTAATATCAGTAGTAGAAGTAAAAAATTTAATATCTGTATTGAAGTAGAAATTGCTGGATTGTTGTATCTAACAATTTGCTTGCTTGCCCTGTAAGCCATTGCCATATACATTTGTGTCTATTTATTTAAAGAGCCAATTTTAGGCATAAGATCTATGTCTGATCTACATTGTAATGTTGTTTCCTCCTCAAAAACATACTTGGAGTTGTGTTTTGTTGCATTCACACAAGTTTAACACTCAAACCTTGCATATGTAGGTTCTTCTGTCAAACCATGTTGCCACCATGTGGTAATACAGGAAGTGGTTTGCTGTGTTTTTAAACTCCATGCACATTCACTAAAATCATCTGGATAATTTCAGTCCTGAAATTGCAAATCTCTATTACACAAAAGGTAAAAGGTAACTGTTAACTACATCACAAGGTGGAACAGAGTATTTTGAGCTTGTAGCCAGACTAATAATAAAGGGTTACTCAAACAAACACAACTCCGTGTATCTTTTTAATGAGGTAACAGCATTCTAACTTGTCTTAAAGCACACATGAGTCAGTTTTGGTTAATGCAAGACGTTTAAACACAGATGAGCTTTATTGTTACCCATTCATATTCTATGTAAAAAAGGCATTTTTAGAAGACACTCTGTTGTTCCAAACTGGAGTAAATTAAACTGCCTACTTCTCCTTCACAAAAGTAAATCCATCCTGACACTAGAGTGAACTATGTCCCCAAATCTCATCAGCTCTTCAGTTTGGTGCTTGATGAGCCACTGAAATTACACCAGATAAATTGCTTCCTTGTTACAACACAATTAGGAACAATCTGTGAAAGGCATTAATGGCCGGCGTTGTTTTGTTATGCGTCTCATTTAGGCTTTAAAAACACAAACTCTGCAATCAACAAAACAACTTTAGCTTCGTCTCAATCATCGCTTTTGTTATCAAGAGACTTAATGTTGGTCTTAAGCACAGGTTCTCGTATGGGCTTTGAAGAATACAACTGAAATACCTGCATAGAAAAGGAAATCATAATTGACATGTCTTTCAAACTGTGGCATCATGCTATTACTGAATCTGTTTAGTACTACTTTGACTTTGCTATCAAAAACTACTTATTTATTTATTTGATAGGGACAAGTATAATTAAAGGTGTGCATAACTTTTCTGGTGCAGAGTCAGCCACTTGCTTTTTTTATGGAGATGTCATTCCACAGTTTGGCATGATGTGTATCTATCTTGCATTTATTTCATTATGATTATTTATTGTTCAAAATACCATGACAAACTTACATTCTGCTTTCGCCTCTCCACAGATCTGTCTCTTAACTTAACTCATAATGATAATAATGTTTAGTGTAATGTAATACTGTGGAATACAAGAAATAATAAGCCCTTCACTTTAGAGGTCCCATATTAGACAATTTTCTGATCTGTTATAATGTTTCCTCATCAAAAACATACCTGTTGTGTTTTGTTTCATTCACACATGTTTAACACTCAAATCTTGTATATTTAGATTTTAAAATCCATACACCATTTTTAAAATGATTTGGACATTTACAGATCTAGAAATGCTGATCTCTACTGAACTAAACATAAAATAGATGTTAACTTGAAAACTACTGGTGCCATCTAGTGGCTCCGCTTCATTTCATTTCTCTCCAGTGACTAGGTCAGGAATCAGAATACACTAGATGGTTTGCAAGAACCCTGGAAGTTGTAGACCACATACTGGCCAATCAGCAAAGAGCTGTGGAGCCATGATGTCAAACTCAAGCGCCTGTCTGGGCCCTTTTTGTGGTACAACACAACAGTAAACAAAGTGGTTGAGATGGATGTAGACAAAGCCATACATTTTGTGTTGGCAACGATTCCCAAGATTGATGATTTAAAGCTGAAACAAAGAGAATGTTTGGTGAATTTTATCAAGGGGAAAACGTTATTGCCCTTCTTCCTATGGGATTTGGCGCATTACATACGTCATGACCAAACAGCAGCAATTGGTTAAATAAAAAAGTACCCACCTACCACTGAGCAAAGGAATCCTAATGCTAGAAAAGTACCACTCCATGACTCCAAAAGGTGGAACAAAGCATTTTGATCTTTGGTGATGCAGACAGACTAATAATGCAGGATTACTCAAACATGCGAGTGAAACAAAACACTATATGGCTATGACTTAAAGCTCACAAGTCAGTTTTGTGTAATGTAGGACCAGTATGTTTAAAGCATGATGAAACAACAGCTACTTCTCCTATAATAGTATGATCATACGTAGCTTTACCATGAGTTCAACACTACAATTATTACTACTACACTGTATTCACATTATACTGTACTTCTGCTTGTACAGTGCGTTTATTTCTCTCACTAATGGTTTTGGGCAGGCTTGAGGCACATCCATTGCCGCTGCTTGCAAACAGGGTTAATTTAAGAACAAAGGTTTTTCATTGAACTTTTTTGATTACGTCTTACACTATTTCACCCTTAGCGACTTCAGGCAGGAGAAGCTTAAAATAGCAACCCTTTTTGATGTAAATGACAGATTTTGTTGCATATTAGGATCATCAAAAGCTTGGCCTGTGTGTTTCATCTTTTTCTCTTTTCCCTCTTTTCCCTGTGGCCTATGGGTTTCTATTATAACCAGTGATACAGTACCATAGCACAGTTACTGCTAATTAGTGAATCGCAACTTTTTTTCAGACCAGCTATTGGTGCTACCACAGAGATACACCATAGTGGTCTGACATTTGATTCAATATTTCATTATTTGACTTTTTAAAGATGGATAAACCTACATGAATTGGCGTTGAACGGTAGTTGCTGAATATTTAAAAGCAAATCTGGAGCATGGGGAAATGTATTGTAAATTAAGATAGTAACAACAGCGCATTAATGATTGAACGTGGCCTCTCTTACATAACTGTGTTTCTTTAGGCTCATTAGTTATGAATCAGGGCCAAGTAAATATTCAACTATGGGCTACTGTTAAATCTGATCTTTTGCCTCTTTGCGAGCCACGCTATAACTATACACATTTAGTAAAAAACACAAAAATAATGCTCTGTTTTAATGCTTTAGAGAGGATTTTGGACAATTTTATCAAGTCTAACAACCCTCACAGAATGCATTGTATAACTGACGTGTACAGCATCCATTACTGACCCCTAGTGGCCTCAACCTCAACTTCTCATTATTACAGAATATAATTTAGAAGGGGTGTCCAAACATTTTCCTCTGTGTGCTAAACTTATCATGTACGTTTGTCTGCAGTGTATGATAACTCTGTCTTGTGCTTTTTAGGGGATAAACTGGTATGGGCTCCCTTTATCTTCATCTTTTCAGATCAATCAGTTCATGCCAGACACATGACCTATACGCATCGGGCGGCCATATTGGTTCTACTCCTAATGTAAACAAATGTCAACTCCAAAGAACCTCTTCATAAACTGCTGAAATATCTGAGCAGTCCTAATCTTTACTGTCAGCTGTGGTGCAGACATTTATACAATATCAAATTACATTGTAGTGTAAATTTGGCTTCTTTGCAGCAAGATATTCATTAAATGGCAATGAAATTTGACTTACCTAGTATGAAAGTGGTGTGTGCATGAATGTTAGTGATGAGGGGTCGATGGCACAGATTGGCAGCCTTGTTTCCATCAGTCTCCCCCAGGGTAGCACCCCAGGGTGACGCTGTAAAGTGCTATATAAATGTAATGATTAATGAACAATTAGCATTTGTGATTAGCATACAGGTAAAATATAATGAACTCTAAGAAATCTTCTAACATCTGAAACATGGCTGGTAAGTGAAACTTCTTTGTGTGTGGTAATATACTAATTGAGTTTTTATGTTCCTGATTGATAGTTGGACTTCCTGGAAGACCAAGTCTGGCCTACAAGCCCCTCTGATCAAGATGTAAAAAAAAAAATCTATGTGCCTATAGTAAAATTGTTGAGTAAAATATTGTTCTTCTTTTGGTACCTTTAATACTGTATCTTACAGACAAATGACTAAATTACTGAAATGGAAATAGCCCTGAAGAGGAGCAGAGAGTCGGAGCAGTGGAACAAGTCCATGTATGATAAAGTGGTATTGTAGTGGCAGTAGTGCCCACAGGACCAAAAGCACTTGACTAAGGAGCAGAAGTCATAATGGAGGAGAGTGTTCATTGATTAGGCCTCATTAGAGTGCAAATGACCCACTTTTAAAGCCAGCGAGGTGGCATTACCAAACCTGTTCATGGGCTCACACTCCACGACTCAAGAACCTACTGTGATAAGCTTAAAAGGAAATGTAGGTGTTCTGCTTGTTTTTATTCATGCAAAGTTAAACTAGCAGTTTTCAGATGCCAGGGTCTTTACACTAGAGGCTAAATACATGCAGAATATGTTACTCCTCCAGCTGTAGTCCTAAAAACCTATTCTAATCTGGAGATGGGTCAGAAGGTGCAGCACTGCCATCGCCCACAGGTTGCTTTATCAAAATTGGGGATGGGTTAAATGCAGAGAATGACTTTCCCTGTGGGGACAATGAAGTGTACCACAAACTCAGTTAATGTGGAAAACAATGTCTTTCCACCATCTCTCCCTTATTTGCATTAGGTAAATATATGGTGATGCATATATGAAAAATAGGCATATTTATAGATATTCTTAATAATAAAAAAACAACAAGCATTCATATTTAAAATTATATATTTTATTTTACCGTATTTACAAATTTGAACAGAATGTTCGATCATATTTTAAACTGCTACAGATCTGAGATGTGCAGTCCAAAGTATAGTGATGGATTATGAGTAGTGAAAGTGTGCTGGCAGATTGTGGAAACATTAATTTATAATTTCATAATTTTTATACATGTGAAACTTGCCTGGTGAAAACTGTGCCTGGTCATCTGTGCTAAGTGCACCTTA